TGTGCGCCTGGTCTGCCCCGGCGGTGGGTTCCTGCTCCCCCTCTGGGCTTGGACTGCAGGCCAGAGGGGGTCTGGCGTGGGCGAACTTCCCCCGCTCACCTCTGGCTCCTGAGGAAGCCTTCTGCAGGTAGTCTTTACTGAAGGAATGTCCCTATTCTATAATGGTGATGTGGGACACACTCCCTGCGCGTCCGGTCTCAGGCACACTCTTCTGCGCGCTTGGTCTGCCCCGGCTGTGGGTGCTCGCTCTCCCTGTGGGCTCAGACTACTTGTTCGGAAGGGGGCTGGCGTGGGCTAACTCCCCAGCTGGCCACTAGCTCCTTCAGGAGCCTGTGCTGGCTTCAAGTCGCTAGGTGGCACCAGAGATCTCTCCTAGAGCCCTTGGGGAGCTGATTTTCCACCCCGTGGGACAGGGAGCAGAGCGGGGATGGTAGGGTACACCTCAACGACTTTGGGGTGCTGTGTCTGCCTTGTGCCCCACCGTCGTGGGGAACCCACACCCCTAATTTCGTGCCCCGGGTCTCAGTTCCAAAGCCCTCAGTTCCAGGACGTGGGCTGTAGCCCAGATCAGTGGCGTGGGAATGGCGCCTTTTGAATCCCGCTCCCCTGCCTGGGCGCCTGGTTCCTGCTCACTCAGGGAGGGCCTCCGCGCGTCTCCCCGCAAGCCTAGGTCGCAGGCGTGGGGACCTGGGCAGCTGCGATCCGATCTGGATCCGCGTTTGCTTTTCAACCGCACTGCTTTTCAGCGCGATCCGCGCCACTTTTCCAGCGCGCCGCTTTCCGCGCAAGCTTACCGGGCGGCCGGGGCTGTGTGCTGGCGCTGGTCTCCTCTCATATTATATTCTTAGTGTGTTGTGTGTTTCTGTCTAGGAATCTGTTCATTTCATCTAGGTTATCTAGTTTGTTGGCATATAATTATTCATATTTTGCTTTCATAACCCTATTTTTCCCCTGTAGAATTAGTAATATCCCACTTCCATTTCTGACATTAGTAGAAATTAGTATGCTTATGTGACGGAAGTCCTTGTGTCAGAATTGCAGATGAGTTTTCTTTATATACTGCATTTTCTAAAATTTCTAAGCTGAGAAAACTGCTCAATGCTTTCCAAAATTATAAAAAGTGGAAATTCTTGCCACCTGCCCAGATACTCTCCGAGGAGACAATATTCTATCCCTTATGTGACCTTGGAGAGGTCCTAGGCATGTTGGAGCAAATAAGCTGCTCTGCAAGTGGCTTTTCTCTATGTGATCATGAAGCAAGCCTGGCGATTACCGCCATTAGCAGTATGAACTGCATGTATGGCCTGATCTCTCCCCTAGCCTGAGTCAGCCTGTCGAATTCAGTTATATGTTGGCAAGTGCTCCGGGCTAAAATCCTGCTCAGCCTCTTCCCTCCTTGGGTCTTCTTTCCTGCTGGCCTGATGTTTGAGTCTTCCCTAGCAATCTTCCTCCTGCCTTGTTTCTGGGAGCTTGCATGGTACAGAGGAACAAATACAGGCTCTGGAGGCACCTACATTCAATTTCCAGTGTTTTGCCATCTGACATTTTGGACGAGTTACTTAAAATCTCTGAGGCTCAGTTTTTACATTAATTGTTAAAAGTGTACTTAATAGATTTTGTTGAGGACATAACAAGTGGACAAAATACCAGACCCAATAGATATAAATGTAGGTGCTGTTATTTCTCTACATGTCACCTCACCTGAGATTCCTCCTATTTTTATTTACCGCTTTGACAGTCGTGACACCCATTTTGTCACTTTGTTCATTTCACATTTCTCATGAAACCAAAGATGTGTTAAGGATAGCATTAACCTAACTGAGAGGCAGCTAAAATACTTGATACTTTTGATAAAATCTTACCACTTCCTCTTGTTGGATAAAATTAGAATCAGTTGCAAGAAATGAAAAAACCCCAAAGTAACCATGGCTTAAACAAAAGTTACACACTTCTCTACTAGCTTCCTGGGACTGCTGTAACAAAGTAGCAAAAGGTGAGTAATTAAGTTTATTGCCTGGCAGGTCTGAAGGCTACAAGTCTGAAATCAGGGTCATGCCTCTTCTGAAATCTCTAGAATTCTTATGATTTGCCAGCATCCTTGGCATTCTTTGGTTTGCAGCTGCATAAATCCAAACTCTGCTTTGGTCTTGTGGAATTCTCCCTGTATATCTTCACACAATAAGAAGACCTTTAGAAGGCCACTAATCATATTGGATTCAGGGCTCACCCTACTTCAGTGTGACCTCACCCTAACTGGTTACATCTGCAATGACACTGTTGCCAAATAAGATCACATTCTGAGAACTTTATCTTTTTTTTCTGAAGGGGGAGATACAATCCATAATTCAAATTCAGGAACCCCAGAGGTAGTGAAACTAGGGCTGGAATTGATCTTAATACTAGGTGCCTTCAATCTGGTTGCTCCAACATGAAAACATCCCTTTCTGAGAACACTAGTGGTTCAGGGTGGCAGTTAAAATTCTAGCTGCCAGATCCATATCCAGCCAGTAGAAAAGGGGAGGAGTAGAGTATACCCCACCCTTTCAAGAGCACACGAAAGTTCTGCTCACATCCTGAATGCCAGGGCTTGGACACATGAACACACCTAACTTGAAAAGACACTGGGAAATGCCATCGTGCTGCGAGGCTGTAGACCCATGAGGGAGACCCAAAGTCAGGGGATAATGGGCAGCCTCTGCCACACACACAATTTCTGTGACTTTCTGACATTCCCCTAGTCCTTCCCATTTCCCTCCCTAAACTTCTGATAGAGACACTTGCTAAATTTAAAAAAAAAAAATATTTATGCATACAAGAACTGGGGTGCAGGCAATGAGAAGATTCACCAGAGACAGTAGGGAGCAGAACAGGCGGGTCTACTGAAATACAGTGCTGAGTGTATTTCAGTAGACAGGAGAGGGTGGGTGAGACAGGAGAGGTCTGCTGTGCCATTTGGGTCAGCTCCCTGGCTGGGGATCGAACTCAGGCCTCAGTGACTGTTGATAACTTTATAGCACTGAGACTTTATGGCACTGAGACTCCCTGCGCCACCAGAGAGGCTCTACTTGCTAAAGTTTTGATCCTCACACTTCCCTATCCGTAGACTCTGACCCTACTACTACTCTAACCATAAACTCTTGATAATTTCTACCTTTTTGGATTAATTAAAACTAATTTCACTAGTATTCAAGTTTCTTCACAGTATAGCCTCATCTGAAATGCAGTGTTTTTTTTTTTTTTTGAAAATAGAAATTATACTGGCTTTTAACTCCAGCAGTTATGAGGATTAAAATAGAAGGGTAAGAGAGAGCAAATTTTAAGCTGTAAGTTAAATGTGTGAGAGATCTGGTACTTTGTTTTCATATGGATGGATGGGTCCTGTATTCTACCTGATCTGGACTCCTCCCTGGCATAGGAATCTGTTTAGTAGAAATGGAGAGGGCTTGTCCACACAGAAGGAAGCCACCAATTCTAGCAAACCTGGTTTATGCCAATTGCCTGACATGAAACAGCAACTTGATTCTGGTCACTGGGCATTTTCCTCAGAACCTGTCAATGTTTGTGTGCTCTGCTCATAGGACAGACACACCTATCAGACAATATTATATCTTTGATAGTGACTTTTATACTTTGTACTATGATATGATAGGCTGGCACACTTCCTTGTACATAGGGTAGCAGGGAAATGTATTAACCAAATTCAGGAACCCCAGAGGCAACAAGACTGGGGCTGAATCTTTTAGTAACCATTCCTTCTATTCCAACAGCCATTCCTACATGTCCATAAAAGAGCTCCTCATGCACAGGTCAGATTGTCTTCAGATGGTACGGTTTTGCTTCTTACCACACCTATATTAGGGCCATGTAGGGAAGGTTGACTTGCTTTTGGCATGTCTCAGAGAGTGGGTGGAACTTTTGGCTATGGTCCAGTAAGGAGACTGGCAAATCCTCTCCAAAAAAGCAGCTATAATTTACCTGGACAGATTTGACTATTTCAGCACTCTGGGAATCAAAAAGGGTAGGTAACAGTCTGAAAGTGTTTATACTCAAAAAGCTAATTAAGTCTGGGTAAGAACATTTGTAATCTGTTCTCTCCTGAGGCTGCCCCCAGCTTCTCCCTTGCCCCAACTCTGTAGGACTGGCATTTTTGTCATGATGTTATAGTTTGAAAGCCATTATTAGTAAAGAAGAGCAGTTTCTAACCTAAGATTCCACTTTAATCTACTAGGTAGGGAAGAGTAAATGAAGCAATCAAGAAAGGAAATGGGGTGCATATTCAACTTTATATTTGGCACTTCCAACCACAGTTGCTTACCTCAAGAATCTACCATGCTAGAATTCTTCCCCTCTCATTCCAATTCATCAAGGCCCCCTCTTTTTTCCTCTAAAAATATCTTAAATCAACCCAAATTAATAAGTTTAAATCTTCCCACAAAGAAATGGTCAGGCCCAGATGGCTTCACCTTGAATTCCCTCAAAATTTTTAAAGGTACCAAATCTTTGAAAGGTCAAAGTAGGGAAGGCTCACTTTTCAACTCTTCCTGTGAGGCCACTGTTTACCCTTAAATAAAAGTCAGAGAAAGCTGATACAAAGACAATATTACAGAGAGAAACACAACAAAATATTTGCAAAGAAAATCAAATTACAAAGTCATACATCATGACCAGGTAGAACTTTTCCCAGAAACGCAAGATTGGTATGCCATTCAAAAACAGTATGTAATACATCGCATCTTTGAGAATAGAAGACAAAAACAATAGGACGACCTCAATAGGCACAGAAAAGAACATAAGTTTCAACATTTTAACCTCAACAAGTAGTCCGCACGGGACTGTGAGGACTAGGTGCTCTAATTTAGTGCTCAACAAGCGCTTCTAAGTTTGCAGAAGTACGGGGCTCACGCCTGACAGCTGCTCTCCGTCCGGGGCGGCGCTTGTACGCTGAGGTCACAGGCGCGCCGGCAGTCACTATGGTAACGGCCACCTACTTCCGGGAGAACTACGGCGCGCGACGAGGGTCATTTCCAACCTGAACGCGCTGGCGGAGGGGCCGCAGAGGGGCAAGTTGCGAGTGCCGTGGATTCCGAGGTGCTGTGGATTCCGAGGTGCCGCCTCCCAGGCCGTAGGCTTCTGCTGCGCGGTTGCCGCCCGGACCCGGGTCTGAAGGCCTGGTGGACAGGCCCGAGGCGGCGCGGCCATGGACTTCTCCAAGTTCCTGGCCGAAGACTTCGACGTGAAGGACTGGATCAACGCAGCCTTCAGGGCCGGCCCCAAAGAGGCGGCGGCGGGGAAGGCGGACAGCCACGCGGCCACCCTGGTGATGAAGTTGCAGCTGTTCATCCAAGAAGTGAACCACGCCGTGGAGGGTGAGCAGCGGGCCTCGCCGCGGGACCCCCACACCTGGCGGGGCCGCCCCACCTGGGCCCGGGGCTTCCGGGAGGTGCGCGGACGGGGCGGCAGGTGCCGGCTCTGCGCTGCGCCAGCCCCCGCCGGCCCGGTGGGCGCTCCTCGGGGAAGGTTCTTGCTTGTTTGGATCTTGGTTTTCCACCTCTGACAGTGCTGTCAGGTTTCCCTTTCAAACTTGAAAGAGTAACCTTTAAGATTATTAAATAACTGACTGGTCCTTACATTTGGCAGAAGCTTATTTAAATTTAAAGGTGTGCAGCAGTGACACGAGTCGGCAGGATAAGATGGGCTGACCTAAACAGAGACTTGAACCATCGTTTAAGGAGAGTTAATTATAAAAATTCCAGCAACCGTTTCATCAGCTCCTCTACCTGATTTTCATTCACCTTGTTTATTTGGCATATTCTGTAGCTAGTCTCTCTACTAGGTTCCAGGGGGTCAAATAGAAGCTGAAAAGCTTAAGCAATGGTAAATAGAATTTTGTCTTACAGCTGTGTGTTGTGTTAAGGAGAAGGCGGGGGGGGGGGGGAGCAGGACGCTCGATTTCACTGCAGAGTCTTTGTTGTGCTTTGCATCTTTTACTTATTGAGCATCTACTATGCATGGGCACTAGGGCTGAAAACCTGAAACTTGCTGTCTTGTGGGGAAGATGGGGAGACAGTTAAATTATAGTGAGGGGTGGCTTCACTGAGGATAGACCCAGGAGCTGTGACAGCTGGAAAAGGGTGCACATACCTCTTGTCTGGGAGAAGTGTGAGGCTTTGGGGGAGACTTCATAGGGTCAAGAGGGGGAGGGCATTAGGAACATAATAGCAAATATTTGTGTCCTTGCTATGTGCCAGATGCTGGTTTAAGTGCTTCATATATATTCACTAAGTGGCCCTCCACCAAGGCTGGTAATGTTGCCCCCACCTCCACCCTTGGAATATTTGGAAATTGGTGGGACTGTTTTTCTTTTCTTTTTCTTTTTTTTTTTTCCTGTGGGACCCTCGCTGGTGGCCGGGGATCGAACTGGCGTTGCAGAGGCTGCGGGCAGCCTCGCAACCCAGCGCTCACCCGCTGCGCCACCAGGGGAGGCCCCATTGGTGGGACTTTTTAAAAGTTGTCTCAGTAGTGGGGAAGGTCACAATAGAAGGATCCAGCATTGCCTAATGGTCTGCAGTGCTGGGGACAGGCCTGAGCTGTAGTTTTCTTATCTGTAGGAGGGGGCCACTGCTGATTGCCAGGGACATCAAGTGATGATACTTTAGGTGAAGCACCTGGTGCTTAACTGCTATTGTCTCAGTTTCTGATTTCTCAGTGTCTGATTTCATTCTCCTGCCTCCAAAGGAGCTATGATTTAACTCAGTGGTGGGAAACAGCTGACGATGGAACAGGCTGATGGCTTGTTTCCTGTTAAATCACCTGCCCTCACTGTCATTACCTCTCCTTCTCCCAAATTTTCCATAGGCTGGGAGAACTGGGCGCTTGGCAGTCTGTGGGGGCACATTTCCTTCCTGTTGTGACATCTATTCCTGTTGTTCACTGGGGATGGGTCTGATTTTCACCTTTTGTACTTATCCTGCTGCAGAGACGAGTCTCCAGGCCCTTCAGAACATGCCCAAAGTGCTCCGGGATGTCGAAGCCCTTAAGCAGGAGGCATCTTTCCTGAAAGAACAGATGATTCTTGTCAAGGAGGACATTAAAAAGTTTGAACAGGACACATCTCAATCAATGCAGGTAAACGCTGCCCTCAATGCTGATTCCTGTGCTTGGAAGATGTTCGTGCTCAGTGGGAGGCCAGGCTTGACTCAGAATTAATTCTGCCAAGATGCAAACTACCTTTTGGTGTGGTTCTTCCACTCATTTGTCTCAGTACTCACCCAACAGATTTAGCCGAGTGATTGGTTGGGGAAGGGGTACAGAGACTCCCTGAAGATAGCGTGCCACGCTGCTTATGTTTCAAGTCACGGGCTGTAGGTAGAGAAAAGAGAAACGCCACTTCCTTAGTTCTTGACCCCTCTTTTCTCTTGTAGGTGTTGGTTGAAATCGACCAGGTGAAGTCCAGGATGCAGCTGGCTGCGGAATCGCTCCAGGAAGCAGATAAGTGGAGCACATTGAGTGCTGACATCGAGGAGACATTTAAAACTCAGGTAGGTTTCTTATTAGGATGTTTTGGCAGGAACTTGAGGGTGGAGAAGCACACGAGATAGCCATGAGATAGCCATTCCCTCAAGCCGTAGGGGCTGCTGAACAGCGGCCATGAAGTCCACCCTGCAGGCCTTGTGTCCAGCAGCTCTACCCTCGAGCTGCTTGACTAAAGCTTCTTAGTCCAGAAAGAGGGAATGCTCAGGAGAAACCTCAATAAAAAAGGTGGAAAATGAGTGAATGAGAGCAAGAATGTGGGCAGAGGGACTTTACACCCCGTGCACCTTGGCAAGTTAGCACCTCTTGGGCTGCAAGGTGTGGAAACTCCTTTTGATACATGGTTATAAGGATGAAGTGAGATTATGATTTAAGAAAAACTCATTTGTAAAACAAAATGAATTATTTACCTTCTGTTCTGCTGTTTTTAAAAACGTTCAGTGTTTTTTTTTAATTATAAATGCACATGGGAAAAATTTAGTGAACAGGAATCAAAAAATGTCTTTCTCATAATGCTGACACCTCCAGTCCAGTCCCCCGATTTCCCTTCAACATACAAACTCTTTGCCATTTTCATGCCTACCCTTCAAAACGCACACACACACACACACACACACGTATATTTATGTTTCCTGTCATTTTTCCCCAGAATGGTAGCAGCTTATGAACACTGCCTTGCCCTTTGTTTTTTCACTCAAAAGGCTGTGACTCTGTATCAGTGTCCTAAGTACAGTCATGCGTTGTCCTCCCTGGGGTCTCCCCTAGTTCATCACAGAGTGCTCAGGGGCTTCACGAGTTAATTGATCTGGGCCTCATAATATGAGTTGCAAATCTTATTGAATTCCTGGCACGTGTGGATGAGAGAGCTTGGATTAGGTACGGCCTTTGATTTTAGTTGTGGGAGACCTCTGCTGTCAATTAGTGAAAAGTTATCTGTCTTGTTTTTCCCCTCCCCATCATCCTGATACTCAGAACTACCTGCCCACGAGACCCAGTGCATCCAGCTGTAGCCCTTCAAAAGTAGAATTTGCTACCTCTGTCCAGAGCCACTCCCCAGTTGCTCTTTCTTTTCTTTTCTTTTTTTTTTTGGTCAGTTGCTCTTTCTTGCACCACCAGGGAGGCCCCCATTTATTAGATTCCTAATTCTTTTTTAAAAATAGCATTTTTCTGGGCCTCCCCAGTGGCGCAGCGGTTAAGTGCTGGGTTTCGAAGCTGCCCGCAGCCTCTGCAGCGTTGGTTCGATCCCCGGCTGCTCCCCAGCCACCGGGTGAGGGTCCCACATGGTGCGCAGACCCCTCCTGCCACCCGCTGCTCCCCTCAGCAGTGTCCTTCGGTCCTTCTGCCTGCTCTGCTCTCCGCTCTGGCTCTGGTGAATTCTCTCATCCTCCCACGCTTCTGACTGTACCCAGTGCTTGTATAAATAAATAATAAATTAATTAATTAATTAAAAAAATAAAAAATAGCATTTTTCTAACTATAAACATAATTTATGTGTGTCTTGGGAAGATTTGGAAAATTCAGAGAAATACAAGGCAGACAACAAAATGATGGTGTTTCTTTTCCTTAGTGAATTTTTTATGTCCATTTGGCATTTTTCTGTATGTTTGTACATATTTGTACTTGTGTATTTTGTGTATGTGCATAAATTTTAGGTAATTTATAGACATTTTAATATCTATCTTTTATCATTTTTATTTCACTTAATTGTAAGTTGTATTTTGCTGTGTAATCAATGCTTCTCAAAATGTGATTTTTGGTGGCTGCCATCTGAGTGACCCATAATTTACATATTTTTTGTAATAAAAGATCTAGGCTGCTTCCAGATTTTTATTATTACAACACTAAAATCACATTAATTAATTATGATTCATTAATATCTTCGTGCCCTTCTGATTATCCCCTGAGAACAAATTTCTGAAGAAGAGAAGAAGAAATACCAGGACCAAAGTTGTGAATATTTTTAAGGCTCTTAATGAGTATTTCTGCAATGCCTTCTAGAAAGGCCAGACTTACTCTCTTTGTACGCTCACCAACAATAGTTATTGTAAGTTTTCAAAAGCTGTCTCAATTTGTTAGGAAGTAGCACTTCCTTATTTTAGTTTGCATTAATTTATATGCTAATAATATTGAACATAATATGTTTATGGGTAGTTTTCTTATTTTATGAATTGCCTTTTCATGTATTTTTAGTTGAAACCGCAGGGGTCTTTTGAAGTGAATGTCCTCTATTCTGTTCTTATAGGATGTGGGTGTGATTTCAGCCAAGCTAACAGGTATGCAGAACAGCTTAATGATGCTTGTGGATACTCCAGACTACTCGGAGAAGTGTGTGCACTTGGAGGCTTTGAAGAACAGGTTGGAGGCCTTGGCCAGCCCCCAGATCGTGTCTGCATTCGCCGCTCAATCCGTAGGTGCGTGTGGTCTCCTCTCGCCTCTGTGGACACCCCTCCACAAGGCTTGAGAATGTCTTAATGTTGATTAAATCATGTAGATTGGAAGTAAATCTGTGACCTTATGGGGTTGCCTTCCCCCCACTTCAGCTTTTTATGTGGAAGATTTCAAGCGTATGGAAAAGCTGAAATGGTCGTGCAGAACAGAACAGATAGATTGACTGAAATACACTGCTGAGGGGAGCAGTGGGCGAGACAGGAGAGGTCTGCCTTGCCATGTGAGTTTCTCCCTGCCTGGCCAGGGATTGAACTTGTGCTGCAGAGGCTGCGGATTGCTTCATAGTATGGTGCTTAACCCCTTGCGCCACCAGGGAGGCCCCTTTAGGGTTTTTATCACAGTCCAATTTGAAGCCTGGCCCTTTTTCAGTCTAGTCCTATGACCACACTTGCCTTGGGACCAGAGTCTCTGCCTGATTCATCTTCATGTTTTTTTAAATTATGTTTATTGAGGTAACATTGATTTATAGCATTATATATGTTTTAAGGGTGAGGGTTCAGATAACATACAGATGTATGTTATCATACCATACCTACTACCAAAGCACCAATATATGATACATTATTATTCTTCCATTTTTTTGAGAAATAAGTTTTATCTTACTCCCCTGTCCTCCACACAACTGTTGGTCAGGCAGGAAGAAACAATAGTGGAGCTGTTTTCTGACCTTCACAGCTATTCATACAGGTATATATATATATATTTTAATGGTAAATATTTTTATATTTATCATATAAATTTGTTTTAACTACAGACTTATGAAACTCACTTGTGTGTTTAGTTGTTTGTTTTTTTTTTTTTTAAAGATTTATGCATTTATACAAGAACTGGGGCACAGGCCAGATATGTGGGAGGATGAGAGGATTCACCAGAGACAGAGCGGGGAACAGAACAGGCAGACTGACGAAATACACTGCTGAGGGGAGCAGTAGGCGAGACAGGAAAGGTCTGCTGCGACATGTGGGTTGCTCTGCGACTGGTGAGGATCGAACTGGCACTGCAGAAGCTATAGACAGCTTCACAGCGCTGCACTCAACTGCCTGCGCCATCAGGGAGGCCCTCACTTTTGTGTTCAGGGTATACGTCTAGTTAAGTGGGGTTGGAGAAGTAGGAGTTGGGGTGGGGAAGAGATAACTCCTTAAGTTGAAGTTTTACCCTTTCCCTCCGGGTAAGCTGGCTGCTTAACGTGGGCATCGGGTTTGAATTATGCCCTCTGGGTTTTGGTTTGAGGAGGGTCAGCCATTTTGACAGCTTTTGTTCAGTTTTGAATCAGATTTAATCCCAGATGTACCTCTTTTTTGGTGGGGTGCCCACTGCTGGGCTGAGCCAAAAAACAGACCTTTCCCCACGCCTGGCCCAGGCCTCCCTTTGCTCCTCACTCTCTCTTTTTCCCTCCCTCTTCCAGCTCTCTGTTCAGAGCTGTGCCCGTACTCACTCACCTTGGGCCAAAATTACTGAATACCTGACATTTTCTGAAGTTTACAGTAAAGGTATCTGCCTGGCTCCAGCACAGATAAATGGTCTTGTATTTTGGTTTTGGTGACCAGTTTGGTAAATACTAGGAATATTTATCCCCCCAAAGTAGTGCTCTCTTTAGTCAACCATCTTCCTGGGTGGCCACAGCGCAGCTTTACCTAACAGTTTTTATTTTTTATTTATTTTTTTTTAAATAATAAATTTTATTTTTATATTCCCCATACAATTGCAGCCCCCCCCATTCTGACCCCAATCCCTTCCCTCCCGCCCCCCACCTCCCAAAAAGTGTCTCTGATTCATAGTTTTTTGTTGATTTTGATTTTCACTTTCTTATAGTTATTCATTTTCCTGGTCCCTTATTTAAGTTTTCTAGATTCCTGCTAGGAGTGAGACCATCCAGTATTTTTCTTTTTCTTTCTGGCTTATTTCGCTGAGCATGATCCCTTTCAGCACCATCCATGTTGCTGCAAATTGCATGTGTTTATCTTTTTTTTGAATGCTGAGTAATATTCCATGGTGTATATGTACCACATCTTCTTGATCCAGTCATCTATTTTTGGGCATTTGGGCTGTTTCCAAAGCTTAGCTATTGTAAATAGTGCTGCTATAAACATAGGGGTGCAGGTGCTCTTTGGAATGGATGTTTCTGTGTCCTTTGGGTAAATACCTAGGAGTGGAATTGCTGGATCCTATGGAAGCTCTATGTTTAGTAGGTCCAGAAATCTCCACACAGCTCTCCACAGTGGTTGGACCAGTTTGCACTCCCACCAACAGTGCAGGAGAGTTCCTTTTTCTCCACACCCTCGCCAACATTTGTTGTTGCTAGTTTTTTTAATATGTGCCATTCTCACTTTTACCTAACAGTTTTTAAAAGGAACTCTCTTGACATTCTCCAAGTATACACACATTAATCTTACACAGCCAGTGAGTTCAGTGGATATATGGAAGCAACTTTTTGTAGTAGGTTAATTCTATATGTAGCAGGAAGATTCATTAATTTAAGGGATCTTGTGTCAGTAATAAGCACTTTATAGGCATAGAGCCATTTTCTAACTCATGATTTCCGCCCATCAAAGTGAGATCTACTGGCAGGTCTCCAAGGTGTAGTTGACTTATCTCCACAGTGGTTGCTGTTACAGATTTCCCTAGAAATGGAGGGCAACAAAGCAGAAATGAGAATTGGGCACCTGTTAGCTCAGTGGTTTTTTTTTTTTTTTTCTTCTTTTAAATTTAAGTCTAAGGGGCCTCCCTGGTGGTGCAAGGGGTTAAGATGTAACCTATGAAGCTATCCGCAGCCACTGTAGCAAGAGTTCAATCCCCAGCCAGGGAGGTGACCCACATGGCGCAGCAGACATCTTCTGTCTCGCCCACTGCTCCCCTCATCAGTGTATTTCAGTCAATCTGCCTGTTCTCTGGTGAATCCTCTCACCCCCCCGCCCCTCTGGCCTAGACCCCAGTTCTTGTAGGCATAAGTAAATAAATCTTTAAAAAAAAAAAAAATTCTAAGGTTGTGGCATCTCCATTTGGCCAGGAGGGGGCAGATGGGAGCCAGGGGTGCTGCTGCCCTGTTTGGAGAGCTGTGCTGGGACCAGCCGATCTTTTCAGCAATATGCCTGGGAGCATGTGCTTTGTTTAGCCTTTTCTTCTGCCCTGAGGGTAACATATGAGAAACAACCTGATATGAGATCCCAGATGTGGCTCTTGAATTCACTGCTATGTGCGGAATGCTGATGTTTACCACATTATTTACTTGTTCCTCAAACCACCAAATATGTCACCATATAGGAGTTCAGTTTGTTTGCTTTTTTACAGTTCCCACTTGGCATAATCAGAGTTGGAATTTTCAAAGAGGTGGCTGACTTGTAAATATTAATCATGTGAGGACAGAGCAGAATATACAGATGAATAAGACACAGTTGCTAGCCTTCAAGGACCTTACAGCTTGGCGGAGGCTGAGGCTGGGACAGAACAAATACACAAGTAGTTTTATTACAAGATGGAATGGGAAAATTGCCGTAGGCCTCCCCAGGATGAAGGGAAATCAAGGGAGCTTTTGTGCAAGAGCTAGTATATATGTGTTGAGCCTTGAAAGAGAGCCGAATTAAAATTTTTTTGTTTCTGATTGTCAAAGTAGTAATACCGGTTATTTCAAATTCGAAAATTATAAAATAGAAAATGATTGGTCAGGAAACTCACTATCCAGAGATGACAGTGTTTTCTTTCAGTTTTTTCCCTCTGTGTGTCCATAAATCTTTTTAAGCAAAGTATGTAAATTTAATATTTAAGACTGTGAATCTTTTTTTTTTTTTTGACTTTATTTATTTATGCATACAAGAACTGGGTGTAGGCGAGAGGTGCGGGGGTTGAGAAGACGGACTGAAATACACTGCTGAGGGGAGCAGCGGGCAAGACCGGAGAGGTCTGCTGCGTCATGTGGGTCAGCTCCCTGGCCGGGGTTTGAACTCAGGCCTCAGTGGCTGGTGATAGCTTGATAGCTTCGAGACTTTGACCCCTGTGCCACCAAGGAGGCCCTCTGGGTCTTCTTTTTATCTGCAGTTATCACTGTGACATGAGCATGTCCCAGTCAGTCTGAGATGTTGATGGGGTTGCAGAGTGCCCTCGGGGGCGGCGGGAGCACTCAGCTAGGGTGACGCTGCATCCCTGGAAAGGCTTTGGAACATGTCCTGTGGGTGAAAGTGGAGTGCTGGCCTGTCCACAGAGCATTCTCACAGTATTGCTGCCTGCTGTGCATATCAAAGGCCTTTGCTGTTATCCTCACCCCTGTTTATGTTTAGTCATGTCAGATACGCTCTTTCTCTGGGGACAGAGAGCGGCAGAAAGTGAAGGGTGAAAAGCACAGAGTGGAAGCGGTCTCTCACCTTGTCCCTGCACATCCTGGGGATTGGAAGCCCCCTTCAATTTTATAACCCAGACTGGCCCCCCGTACCCCTATACCAGCCCTGTCACAAACTCATTTTACTATTCACATGTGATGATTACTTCTCTGACATAGAATCTGACCTACATTAAGGATTATTCTGAACAAACCAATATTGTGGTGTCTGATTGTGTCACCTTTTCTTTTTTTTTAAAGATTTATTTATGCATATAAGATCTGGGGTACAGGCCAGAGATGCAGGGGGTGAGAGGATTCACCAGAGACAGAGTGGGGAACAGAACAGGCAGATCCGTTGAAATACACTGCTGAGAAGCAGTGGGCAAGACAGGAGAGGTCTGCTTCACTGTGTAGGGTGCTCTCTGGCTGGGGATCGAACTCGTGCTGCAGAGGCTGCGGATTGCTTCATAGTGCGGTGCTTAACCTCTTGCGCCACCAGGGAGGCCCTGATGGTGTCACCTTTTCTATCCTTAACTTTACTTATTTTCCATATTTTTGATTCTCATGCATGAATGTTAATTTATTGTCTAGGTGAGAACTTCTGAATAGTAATCGACATATATCCACAATTAGCCTGGTGAGTTCTTGTTCTTGGCTGCAGCAGAAAACCTGGTAACAGCAGTTACACATTTTATGTTGTTCTCCTTTAGATCAGGCCAAAGTGTTTGTGAAGATATTTACTGAGATTGACCGGATGCCCCAGCTTCTGGCATACTACTACAAGTGTCACAAGGTGAGAGGCTGTGCGGTCCGGATTGTGGCCTGCGCTAGCCCCAGGCTGCATCCCAGGCTCAGAGCAGAGGCAAAAGTATGTTGCTTCCTGGCCAGTAGGGGGTGGTCTTGATCCAGCCCGTGGCTTCATTTACTTGTCAGTGGGAAAAGTGGCCACTTTTCAATGTCTTTTGTATTTATGGCTGGATTTCATTTACAGACTGAGAAGTTATTTTCGTTTGTCCTATTTTTGTCTCGTAAGGGGAGATTTATGCCCTAAGCTTTATTTGCCCTCAGCAAGCCTTAAGAATTTTATGTTTCCTAGGGTTCTTGCAATCGGATTTCTGAAAAATTTGACAGCTTCCTGGGCTAACTTAATTCCTTCAAGTCCAATGCCCAGGTATCTCTTACGTACTGGTGTTGGGATAGAGTGAGGCACTAACTAGATGAAACTAAAGCAGTGCTCATGGCCACCTCTAAGGTCTGTTGGGGAGAGCTGTTGGCATGCTTTGGGGGCAAGATAGAAGAAGAGAGAAGCACTTAGAGGGCAGCAAGTTCAAGCTTTGGATGATAACCGGAGCAGGTGACTATAAATGTTTTCTTTTTCCCCCTGCCCTTTTATGATGTGAATGGTCATCGCTCAGTGCCTGACTGCTCAGGATAGCAGGCGGTGGAAAATCGCTGGCTTTGGTAGGAGGGCAGGGCGGTTTCCCCAGGCAGCATGTCTCGCATACCCCATAAGGCCCCTTGCTCTGCTTCTGCAGGTGCAGCTGTTAGCAGCCTGGCAGGAGCTGTGCCAGAGTGACCTGCCCCTGGACCAGCAGCTCACTGGATTCTACGACGCCTTGCTAGGTGCTTGGCACACACAGATCCAGTGGTCCACACAGGTAACAACTCATTTGGGTTCTGGGGGGTGGTGACCGCCCCAGAGTGGTCTCTCTCTGGAGCGGGGCCACCCCTCTTGAAGGACCTCCTCACTTGCTGCCATCACCAAAGGGTTAAAAGATAAGCTTCAAAACCCAGGGCGGTAAAATAGGTCTCCATTAAAACTCTTCTTATCACTCTTATATCTATATCTTAAATAGAATCTAATGTGACAACATTGCTTGCTGTTCAGCGAGAGAGCCTGTGGAATTCCTGGAGGCCAATATCTTCTGATCTGAAACCAGGAGGCCCTTAGTCAGGCGATGTTTGCGTGAACACAATTGTTTTTATCTTAACTTTGGGTAAAATTTACCTGACCTAAATTTAGTTTCCCTTGTTCTCACAAGATGCCAAGCGCTAAGAGGAAGAGTGTAATTTTAAAGGCACCCTCTGACTAAAGGGAGAGGAAGTTGGCTTCAGGTGGAAACTTCCCATCACTTTCCCGGAGTCTCTAGGTGTTTTCAGCCATAAAGGTTTCAATGCTTGTTCCCTTGCACACAGGGGACACAGATCATCTATTAGAAGGGACAAGGGCTGCCTTTCTTCTGACTAGTGACTTACTGGGCCTGTTTATGGTGTTCCTTCCCCCGGCCCACAAATTAGCTGTGAATCTCTCTTCGCGTGTTCATCGGAATTTGCCGGAGAGAACTCGGCTGAAGTGGGAGAGAGCTCCTCACACAGGGCGGTGCTGTCCCAGGTGGCTAGGGCTCCCTTCTCCATCCTCCTCTTCGCCTCCTTTAGTCAGCCTAATTCAGCCTTAGGTTAAAAACAAAACCAAAAACCAACCTCCTATACAAGTGTCACAGTTTTGAGGTAAATGTCGGTTTTCAGTGACCCCCGTCCACCCATGTTCACGTGTCCTGTCTCTTCTAGTGCTGGTGTCAGGAGCATACAAAGGATACAAATGCCCTTTATCACAGAAGAAGGAGGATTTGTTTGTTTATTACTAATTTTTGATCTGTGATAGCATTACTTTTTCAATGGCCAAAAATTGGTATCGTTTACAGTATCTTAAGGTGAATTTCCTTTGAATGGGAGCCTCCTTTTTCATACTTTGAGGTTTACAAGATATATCTAGAAAATTTACTACTGTGGAACACGAAGACTTGAATCGAATGGGGTGGGGGAAGGGCCTGCGTTTTTTCTTTTTGATTAATTGCTGTAACTCTGTCCTTCCAGTGGCTGAGCAAGAGTCACATTTTTTCTAGACATCAGTGGGTTCTGAAGCTCTTGCAAGACAGTGTGGATGCTGTATGAATGCCGCCATTTTGCTGGTGCTGATAGGACTCCTGGGGTCCACCATTAGAACTGTTTTTTATTTATTTATTTATTTATTTATTTTAATAGAGGCATGTTTTTATTTATTTATTTGTTTGCTTGTTTTGTTTATACATGCACTGGGTACAGTCAGAAGCGCGGGAGGGTGAGAGAATTCACCAGAGCCAGAGCAGGGAGCAGAGCAGGCAGAGTGATGAAGTACACTGCTGAGGGGAGCAGCGGGCAGCAGGAGAGGTCTGCGCGCCATGTGGGACGCTCCTCCGGTGGCTGGGGAGCAGCCGGGGATCGAACCGGCGCCGCAGAGGCCGCGGGCAGGTTCGCAACCCAGCGCTCAACCGCTGCGCCACCGGGGAGGCCCTCCACCATTAGAACTGTTAACACCATGTTAGATTTTGTTGCAAATCTTAAAAAAGATTCTGAGTGCTTCTATCTGAAGACTGTGTATTTGATTTTCAGAAATTGTCTGTCAGTGGAGGTTGCCCTCTTGCGTCACTGTCGCTCAAAGGCTTGCCAAGAAAAAGGATTTAGACTTTTCCACTTCCATTCAGACCACACCCTAAGTTGTAAGACATAAGTTGATGCTAATTTCTGCTTTGGTCCCTGGTCTGCTTTCTTTTCTGCACGGTGGCTGTCATCTCCTGAAGCGCAGTACAGTGCAAAGGAAACCAGAGCCTCCAGGGTAAATGTGCTTCCTTCAGAGCCCCTCCCCACCCCCAGTATTAATGTGGAAAATTTCCAGCATATAAGGAATTGAGAGAATTGTATGGTGAAGACCTATGTAGCACCTCCCGAGTGCCACAGTGAACATTGTGCTCTGTTTGCTTTTTCATCAGTCTGTCTACCTATCCACACACCTGTTCATTCACTCATCTTATTCTTTTGGTCCATTTCAAATAAATTGTAAGCATCACTCATTTCAGAACATGCATGGTATTAACTGGAGTTCAATATTAGCTTTATTTTTTAATAAGGTAAGATTATGAAATGCAGTGATCTTGAATATGCCATTGATTTGGTTTTGACAATTACTATGTGATCCAGTTCCCTATCAGGGTACCAAACATCACCATAAAAATGATCTAGAAGTTGTTCTCATTCTCCATTACTCCAGAAGGCTACCACCATTCAGATTTTTTCTACCATAAATTTGTTTATCCTGTTTCAGAAATTTCATGTAAACAGAATCACACAGTATATGTTCTTTTGATAAGGCTTCTTAGATTCAGTGTGTTGTTGAGATTTATTCATGTCATGTTTATCAGTAGTTTGTTCCTTTTATTGCTGAATACTGTTACATGGTGTGAATATACCACAGTTTGTTTATCCATCCTCTTCTTGATGGACACTTGGGCAACTTCCAGTTTTAGGCTATTACGAATAATAATAGCATTCTTCTGAGCATTGTTCTGTAAGTCTTTTTGTGGACACACGTGTTCATATCTCTTGGGTAAATACCTAGGAGTGGAACTGCTGGGTCACAGGGGAGGCGCATGTTTAGATTTATAAGAAACTGCCAGACATTTTTCCGAAGTGGCTTTGCTCTCTGCACTCCCACAGTGTGAGAGTCTGATTGCTCCACATCCTTGTCAACATTAGGTGTTGTCAGTCATTTTAATCTTAGCCTTTCTGGTGTGTGTGTTGCAGTATCTCACTGTGGTTTTAATTTGCATTTCCCCAACTGACTAAGGATGGAGAGCACCTTTTTATGCGATAATTAACCATTTCTAGATCTTCCTTTGTAAAGTGTCTGTTCAAGTCTTTTGCCCCCTAGAAAACAGGTGGATTGTTTGTCTTCTTATTGTTGACTTGTGAGAGTTCATTTTGTATTCTGAGTACAAGTCTTTTAACAGATATGGTTTGTGGGTATTTTCTTTCGCTCTGTGGCTTGAGCGCAAATACTATTTTGATGAATTCTAGTTTATCAGGTTTGCTCTTATGATTATTGCTATTTGTGTTCTAAGGAATCATCACCAAGTTGCAAAGATCTTTTTTTTTCCCCTAGAAGCTCATTTAGCTTTTGAAGTTTGTTTTATCATCCACCTTGCATAATTTGTTTATGTAGTATAAGGTAGTGTCACATTATTTTCATAGAAGCTATTTAGATTAATTCTATAACCCTAAGTGATGGTTTGGTCTTGTTGTTGGTGAACTTTTTGGTTGTTCTTTGGCCAATGGCCAGAAAATTTCCCTTGCCAGATTATTTCAATGGCCATTCTGAGAGGACCCTCTTAGAGGACTTCTAAGAGGCCTAGTTTGTTTTAATTATAACATGCATTTAAGAAATGTTATTGAAAGTCTAGGATATGGCTTTCTAGTCAGTTTCAGCTGACCAACCAATTAGAACTCTTTCGAGTAGAGTTATTTAGTCTAATTCTTCCCCCTGTTCCAGGCCATTTAAGTAAGAGATAAGAACAAAAGTTGCGCAGTCCTTTCTTTTAATACATAGAGAAGAGGTAGGATTTCTTTCTAGATGAGAATTGTTTTCATTCCCTTCTTTGATTCCTCCTTAGAGTGAAATGTTTCTTCTAGCAAATGAGGAACTGGGTGGTATCTCAAGGTCTTTACCGTTCTCTTACCTTAGTGTGTTTGGGGACGATGAGGACAGTGTGTGGCTGGGATGCCTGAAATGGCTGGAAAGGTGGGTCTGCTGGTGCCCCTATGTGTGTGGATAGTAGAACCACACAATGCAGGAACTTTGAATTCAAGACAGGAGTTTGGCTTTCTCGAAAAGATAGTCTAGAGCAATAGAGAGTGATTTTAAGAATGATTTTGGTATCAAAACATCACCTACGTAATTTCCCTGTCAAAAAATGTAACCTTCATGTTATCATGAAGAAGCTAAGAGACCCAAATTAAAGATTGGCAAAACAGCTATCCTGGACTCTTCAAAAATTCCAGTGTCATGAAAGAAAAAAAATAAAGATTGAGATACTGTTTTTAAAGGAGACAAATTAAAAAAAAAAAGATAACTAAATGCAAAGGCGTGGTTCTTGGCTGGCTCCTGCAGGATGACAGAAAAGCCACGAAGGACATGAACGGGACAACGGGGGACATCGGATCAGAGACGCAATAGGCAAAGGCATTCTGTCAGGGTTCATTTGGTTAGTGGTGGAGCTGTCACACGGCAGGCCTCGGCAGAGCTGCTTAGTGGCGACACGTGATGTCTGCAGCTGCCTCTCTAGTGGTGCAGAGAGAAGCACAGCAGATGTGGCAAAAAAAAAAACCAAAAAACCCAAAAAAACAATCACTGGGGTGGAGGTCTGTGAGGAGCCCCCTTCTAAATGTACTCATCTAGTTTTGTCCAAGAGACCTACAATGCATAGGACAGGAAAAAGACTCTCCGTGAATAAGTGAATCTACTCTAAAAGGCTATGAAGACACTATTCCTGGTGGCCCTTCGGATAAAAAAAATCTTCACCGAGAACTGGGTCAAGGGGAGAGGTGGCTGGGCTGGTCTGCACGCTGCCTGACGGTTGTCCATTTCTTACTCCGTGACTTAATTTTTCTTTAATTCTGTTTTGTTCCCTCCCTCATGTCTTCCAGCTTCTGCCTTGACATCTTCACAGTCCTCACTGTAGCCAGTTTTTGGTGAGCATTTCAGTGCTGCTTACCATAGAGTTGAACATAGTCAGGCTCTTGGGGTCAGTGATAGACATAAAGTGGCCAGTTGTTCTGGACCATTCGCAAGTGCTGCCAGCTGACTTGGCTCTCTGAACATGCTCACTTTTATGGTGAGGGAACCTGGGGCTTATCGCTCTTGAGTAGACCACTTTCTGGTGATTGGAAGGGTGCCTTTGAGCCACCCAGGAGACTGCCTCTGTGGAAGCTGTGTGCCTTTCTGGTCCATGCTCTCTCTCCCATTGCAGGTTTTCAAGAACCCCTACGAGGTGGTGACGGTGCTGCTGATTCAGACCCTGGGGGCCTTGCTGCCCTCTCTGCCAGTCTGCCTCAGTGCCAGCGTGGAGCGGGCAGGGCCTGAGCTGGAGCTCACCAGCCTGCTGGAGTTCTATGACACCACTGCCCACTTTGCCAAGGGGCTGGAGATGGCGCTGCTCCCCCACCCACGTGAGCATTCCTTCCTCCCAGACTCTGGCTTGTCTTTACTTGCTCTTTTTGAAACTTCTGGGGCCTGGGTTTGCTTGCTTTTCCAGGTGCTGATTTTATAGAATGGAAGGGATCATTGTTTCCCTTTTCAATAGACATGGGAGGCTTTTCCATGAAGACATTGCCATTGTGGCAATGGTTGTTGTATAATGTATTTACCCAGCACCACTCAGGTGCTTTCCTCGCTCTGGGGAGGAGATGGACCCTTGTAGGGGCAGGATGGGACAGAGCAGGATTTCTATGATTGGAGCAGACCAGGTAAAGGAGGAGTCCTGGAGTGCTCAGTGGCCATTGCAGGCTTTTATTGGGATTTACCAGGTACACAGCCGGCAGGGGTGCCAGGGGGCTGGCAGGCCCCCCAGCCCCCAGGAAGTCTTCACCCTTTCTGGGCTCTCTGGAGTTTTCTCGTGGCCTCTGCTTCTCTCTTCTCCTTCTGGTTTCCCACTCTTTTTGCTCTCTGTTCTGCTGGCATCCCTGTGATTCCACCCTTATAAGCCCACTCTCAGCCCAGGTGAATCCCATCTACATATGCCCACACCCTACTCCAGGTGCCCGCCATTAGGCCTGCCTTCAGGACTGCAGGGATGAAGCATTGATCTTAATGGTGGGAGGGCAGAAAAGCCTGATACTTTACTTACCCTACAACACCTCTGCAGGGATTTAGAAGGTAAAAGAGGCAGGTAGCATTTGTAATAGGTCGGTGGCAGGTTTGTCTGGGAGGGGAATGTCCTCTACCTTTTAAGTCCTCTACCTTTTAAGTCACACGATTCAATCTAAAAAGTAAGTTGAAGAGAACAAATGGGTTAGAGGAGCTTTTTGAGCGTACAACAAGTTTCAAGGGCAGGGATGTGGACTGAAGGTGGCTGTAGGGGAAATGGGCCCAGTTACACCTGAGAGCGAAACCTCATGGTCCCATTCAGGCAGACAATGGCTGATGTGTTAGTTTTCCCAGCTGTTTCCCATCTAGGTTAAAAGCACCATAAACTTTTACATAACATAGACCTTGTGACGCATTCTGCTGTCAAATCAGGAAATCACTTCAGGAAAACCTTGTTCTGCCGTTTGGCTGCTTCGTCACTAACTCAGTTTATTTAAAAGTTATTCTCTTTAATTACATTTGTGCATAATTACCTTAGACATTCCAGGGAGTGTGTTTATTGTTCAGGCTCCTGATGATTCATAGGTGTTTGTGGCACGCTCACTAGTTAGGGCCTGGCCGGGGGCAAGGCATGGGGGCCATGTGGTTACTGCCAGGGAGGGGGCACCCTGGGCCCAGTGGCTGTGGGTATCTGGCCACACACCCTCCTGGGTCAGAGAAGGGTAAAGGTGATGCAGGAGCACAAAGCCTTCCTCCCCTTCATGAGGAACGTTACTGAAGAAGAAAGAACGTCACTTGCAAGAGTCAGATACAGAAATCAATTGTAAGTCAGGTTTAGATTTTTGATGATTCCTATTGAGGCTTTCAAAGTATTTTTTTTAAAGAATATTTTTTTAATTTTATTATTATTATTTTTTTTAAGATTGATTTTATTTATTTGGGTTTTTTTGTTTATTTATTTATTTATTTATTTATACAAGCACTGGGTACAGTCAGAAGCGCGGGAGGGTGAGAGAATTCACCAGAGCCAGAGCGGGGAGCAGAGCAGGCAGAAGGACCGAAGTACACTGCTGAGGGGAGCAGCAGGCGGCAGGAGAGGTCTGCGCACCATGTGGGACCCTCCTCTGGTGGCCGGGGAGCAGCCGGGGATTGAACCGACGCTGCAGAGGCCGCGGGCAGCTTCGCAACCCAGCGCTCAACCGCTGCGCCACCTGGGAGGCCCTCAAAGTATTTTTTTAAAATTAATTTAAAAGCATTTTGGAAGCATACATAAAAATAAAAGAATGTAAGTTATCCCTAACCTCATCACTCAGAGAGTGCCTCTGGCAACAGTCTGTTATTTTTCCTCCTAATAAATCAGATACAAATGCACATTTTCTACAAATACACATTATATAAATATAAATGAATATAAATATAAATATATACATGTATGGCTATACACATATTCTATGTGTTTAAAAGTGTGGTTCATATGCAATCTTTTCTTTTTGCTTAAAATAAAAAAGCTTTTTTTTTTTTCATTCAAGATTTATTTATTTATTTATACAAGCACTGGGTACAGTCAGAAGCGCGGGAGGGTGAGAGAATTCACCAGAGCCAGAGCAGGGAGCAGAACAGGCAGAAGGACCGAAGTACACTGCTGAGGGGAGCAGCGGGCAGCAGGAAAGGTCTGCGCGCCATGTGGGACTCTTATCCGGTGGCCGGGGTTCTAACCAGCGCTACAGCTTCGCAACCCAGCGCTCAATCGCTGCGCCACCGGGGAGGCCCTAAAAAAAGCTTTTTTTAATGTGACTAAATATTTTCCTAAGACATTGTGTTTTTTTTTTTTTTTAAAGATTTATTTATGCATACAAGAGCTGGGGAACAGGCCAGAGATGCAGGGAGTGAGAGGATTCACCAGAGAGTGGGGAACAGAACAGGCAGACTGACTGAAATACACTGCTAAGGGGAGTAGCGGGCGAGTCAAGAGAGGTCCGCTGCGCCATGTGGGTTGCTCCCTGGCCAGCCGGGGATTGAACTCATGCTGCAAAGGCTGCTGATTGCTTTATTTTTATTTTTATTTATTTATACAAGCACTGGGTACAGTCAGAAGTGCAGGAGGGTGAGAGAATTCACCAGAGCCAGAGCAGGGAGCAGAGCAGGCAGAAGGACCAAAGTACACTGCTGAGGGGAGCAGCGGGCCTCAGGAGAGGTCTGCACGCCATGTGGGACCCTCCTCCGGTGACCAGGGAGCAGCCGGGGATCGAACCGGCGCTGCAGAGGCTGTGGGCAGCTTCGCAACCCAGAGCTCAACCGCTGTGCCACTGGGGAGGCCCCAGCTGCTGATTGTTTCGTAGTGCGGTGCTTAACCCCCTGCGCCACCAGGGGAGGCCCCTGACACATGGTTTTTAATGACGACAACTATGGCTTACTTGAAATTTTTTAAATCCACTATTATAAATAAAGGTATCGTGAATAATCTTACACATTAATTATTATGTCCAGCTCTGGTTATTTCTTAGGACAAGTTTTAAAATTATAGTTGCTAAGGAATGAAAATTTAAAAGATGCTTGCCATATTGTCCTCTTTATTTATTTTTAAAGATTTATTTATGCATAAAAGAATTGGGGTACAGGCCAGAGGTGTGCGGGGGAGTGAGAGGATTCACCAGAGACAGAGTGGGGAACAGAACAGACAGATTGACTGAAATACACTGCTGAGGGGAGCAGCAGGTGAGACAGGAGAGGTCTGCTGCGCCATGTGGGTCAGCTCCCTGGCCAGGGATTGAACTCAGGCCTTGACAATGATAGTGCTGAGATTTCACCCCTAGGCTACCAGGGAGCCCCTCTTTGTTCATTATTGCTTTTTGTTTCCATTTCCCTAAAGATGAACACAACTTGGTCAAAGTCATGGAGCTGGTGGATGCCGTGTATGCTCCGTACAAACCCTACCAGTTGAAGTACGGTGACATGGAAGAGAAGAACCTACGCATTCAGATTAGCGCGGTGCCTTTGGTAATGTCCTATTATTGCCAGTGGCCTAATTTGAGGAATCATTCTGTTTGCCAGGCATGGGGTTAGGGATGGAATGCACTGGAGAAGGTATGAGGTGGAATCAGGTTTGCAAAGAAATGGGAACAGGTCTGCAAAAAATGGGATCTAGGTGCCTCCTGGGCTGTTGGGATCCTCGTATGAAATGCAATTCCAGCTAGGCTGGCAGCTTTCTAGGTCCCCAATAAAGATCTAGAAAAAATAAGATGCTTAAATCTTCTGGGGATGATTCCGTGTTTCTGATTTGAATTCATCCCCTAGAAATCTGGGGATGAATTCAATGTCTCTCATATTCCTACTCTCATAACGGGCAGTTTTGTTTAAAGAAGATGTGCAGATGGCATGGGAGCCAAGCTGGCATGGGCAGTGTTAGAGGTGATGTAGGGATGGGTCACTGACACTGGGGGGTAGAGGTCATTCCCAGTACAAATGCTATTTTAGGGTTGTCCACTCTGGGGAGAGCAGACATTAAAGAATTGATCTTAAAGTCATTAGAATCTGCAGCCTGTTGCCATTTTTGTGTTTTCTAGGGACGTTCCTAGAAAGTGTTCTGCTTCTGTTACATTCTTGCCCCCCAAGGAAGCAGTTTCTGTTCACTGCATTCTTTTGGAGTGTCTTATATGGAGAATTTGAATCCTAGCTGGTAAATGTGAGCAAGACGCCATCTCCACCACAGAAAAAGAAGAAGGAGATGAGAACTGTGAGGATGACTATAAGGATTTGATAGGCTTTTCTGTTGTGACCTCACTGGCCACTTGAACCGGCTGCCCTGGGGCAGGCCTTGAGGAGCTGTCGGGTTAGGGAGTGTACTGCTGACATCCCTGTTAAAAAAGTGGTTGTACCGTGAATGAGGAGGCTTGGCTGTCTGCCTCACCTTAGTGTCCGCTCATCTGTTCTTGGGTCTGAGGTGGCTTTTGCTTGTCCATATTTGCTGTGCAGGAGCACGGAGAGGTCATCGACTGTGTGCAGGAGCTGAGCCACTCCGTGACCAAGCTGTTTGGTCTGGCGTCCGCAGCCGTGGACAGATGCATCCGATTCACCAATGGCCTGGGGACCTGTGGCCTGCTGACAGCCCTGAAATCCCTCTTTGCCAAGTAAGGCTGGGGTGGGGGTTGGGGTGGGGGCAGGGCCGGCCACACTGGAGAATGACGTCTATCCCAGTGAAAAATATGTGTATCCCTGTCCTGTATCCCGGTGCTGCCCCTGGAGAGGACATCACACTCGGGCCCGAGAGGACATTCCCAGGGGTGTTCGCTGGGGCACTGTTTGTAGTGGCAGATCATTGGAAGCAACCTAAATACCCATCAGTTTGGCAGTGGCTGAATAAGATCTGGTGTGTTCACACAGGGGCCGCCATGCAGCAGTTAAGATTTTAGTTAGATCTATGCATAGCAACACGGTTAGATCTCAGAAACATACTGCAGAGTGAATAAAACGAAGTTGCAGAATAAGTTATAGTGTAACACAGTATGTAAAAAGAACGTACAAAAATGAGGTTTATTTTCTATAGCAGGACTTGATGAACTTTTTCTGCCAAGGGCCCAATGGCAAGTATCTCAGACCTTGCAGCCGTAAAGTTGGTAGAGACTTTTGTGGCCCTTTGCTTTCCAGCATGAGAGCAGGCACAGACAGCACTTCCGTGAATGGGCGTGGCTGTGTACCAGTAAAACTTTATTTACAAAACACCAGGAGTACCAGCTCCTTGCCTGGATCTTTTTTTATACTTTAAAAATGTATTACATATTCCTATAGATAGAGGTCGATAAACTGGAGCTCATGAGTCAAATGTGGCATGCCATCTGTTCTTGTAAATAAAGTTTCCTGGGACACAGCCATGCCCATGCACTTCCCTGTGGCCCGTGATGCTGCCACTCTGTGAAGGTAGAGGCCTGAAGATACCTTAAAATATCTGTGCCCTGACAGGGCAGGGCTGCTGAGTCTGGATGTGGAAGGTTAAGCAACAGAAGACTCAAAGCATTCATTTTCTTTGGGGAGTTTAGGAAGGCTAGGATGGTGGTGGATAGCTTTGTTATTTTCTCTCTTTTAAAAAGGGACACATATTTCTTGTTTCATTAAAAATAGAAAATAGAAAGATTGTGAGCTTCCTGCTAAGTGAAAGTAGCAAGTCACAAAAGGTGACTTGATTCTGTGTAGATGAGATTCGAGAACAGGCAGCTGCAGAGACAAAGTAGATTAGTGGTTGCCTGAGGCTGGGGAGACAGAATTGGAGGAGATGGGGGTGACTGCTACACGTTTTGGAGTTTTTTTTCTGGGGTGATGAAAATGATCTAAAATTGCTGGTGGTGATGGCTGTTGGACTCTGGGACTGCACTATAGGCTTGTGCCCTTAAGTGTGTGAATTGTGTGGCTGTGAATTATGTCACAACCAAGTTGCTAAAACAAAGAGAGAAGGAGAAATGGAAATTAAGTTTAGTTAGCAAAAACAAAAGGGAAGCCAGCCATTTCAGACAGGGTTCTCTGACCTACACCTGAGGTGCAAGGGCCTCAGGATGCCAGCTGCTCCAGCCTCTTGCTTATAGACAACTACATTCTTAGGCTCTCCAGGAGACCTCCCAGGGGTAGCTTGTTTAAGAATGAAGTTGCTCTGAGTCTCAAGAAATTCCTTTTATTGAACCGAATGCTGTTTTGCTATAAGTTTAAGGAGCTCTTGTCATTCCAGAAATACTGAGCATGCCCCCGTGAGCTCTGAGGGTCCTTGGGCGCAGTGCTCTGTCGCTGCCCTGGGCAGGCAGCGCCTCCCGGGGAGCTCCCAGGAGCGGCATGGAAAGCCTCTGGGGCCTCATGCCCTGCCCACAGATGCCCGTGTCACCTGTGGATGTGTTCCCGCGGAAAGAGAAGCCTCAGCAACAAGCTAAATTAAAAGAAAAAAAAAAGTTACCTCTTTCTCTGCCAGCAACCAGGGTTTTTGGATGGAAAGAAATTTTTGAGATCTAAGAAAATGAGACTATAAAATAACAAAAATACTGCTTTTAGAAATAACTTTTAAAATATGAAAAGGTATTAAAAAAAAAGCCTTTCTCCCCCTTCCTGCTTACCTTAGTTCTTCTGAGAAGTAGCCAGTTTTGAACATTTAGCTGTTTGTCTCTTCATTCCCCCGCCCAACTTTAGAGCAGACGTCTTGTGTATCAGCATTAACGACGGCCTCTTGCCTCAACTATGAACGGTGAAGACCGCAGGTACCCAGAGCTGCCCCGCTCTCACCCCATTCCTCCCAGCGCTGGCTCGTTCTATTTTTACTTTTTGTTTTTCAGTTGATTATTTTAACAACTTCATTTTAAAAAGAATACAAACCCCTCTTGAAAATCCCACTATACCCAAGGATATTTCGTGAAAATGAAACAACCGAAACAGCTGATGTTTATGAAGTTAGGGGTTAGGGCGAAGCTCGCTGGCAGGACCGGCCATTGCCCAGGTGTGTGTGTGTGTGTGGGGGGGGGTTGGGGAGGGCGTTGAGGGAGGATGAAGCATGCAGGGCAGACAGGAGGACACTGGCCTCACTTGAACTAGACTACAGCAGGCGGCAGGTGTGAAAGAGGTAGGACTCGATGGTGATGGAGCCTGGGCCCAGGGGCTCGTCTGGCCCTTACTTTGGGGCCCTCGGCGGGTCAGTGCTCTTCTCTGCATGTTGCTGTCTTTCCTCTGAGGAAACTGGTGGTGCCATCTCCTTGAGACAGTGAAGTGAAAGCGTGTAATTAAAGCCCCTCCCAAGGACACACACTGTTCATGTGCCACCAACTCTACAGCCTTAAAAAAGGACCACCCCACATCAGCTTTCATTTCATACTTTTCAGGGAACTCTTGTTTGTATCATTTCCTTTACTTCAGCATCACAACAGCTCTGTGAGGTGGTGCAGAAAACAGCACTAAATCCATTTGAAAGACTAGGAAACTGAGGCCCAGGGCTACGGGCCAGTCTTATGTTCATTCAGGCGCTATTTCCACATGTCTCCCTCAGCCCGGCCTGCTGCTGATTTCCTGGGGACGCAGTTATGAGCTGGGGCTAGTCCTGCCCTCCTAGAGCATCTAGTCTCAAAATGGAAGTACATGTTGAACATGTACTCAGATAAGCTATTTAATCCAACCCATGCCCGGCGCCAGGATGGAAGGTTGGTGTGCAGCAGGAGCAGGCCGCATGTGAGGGAGTCTGCAGCTCCAATCTAGTTTCATGCTCCTGTTCCTTGAGGGCAGGCTCTTGCCCGCCGGGCAGCTTGGTAGTTTAATGTAAATGCTGCAAAACAACCCTGGACAGGGTCCCAGGTGACGGTCAAGTGCCATAGTAGGACTGCGATGTTTTAAACAATTCTTGGAACCAGCTTCCAAAGAAAGGCCCCTGTTAGGACGAGGGAGCGGTTTGCCAGCATCACTGTTCGGTCACCAGGGTCTTAGTCTCAGTGGCTGCCTCCCTCCTCCACTGCAGCTGCTCTGCCGGGTGGGCACGGTGGTCTTGCCACATAGAGCAGACCATTTTGTGGTCACACTGTAAAGGCAGGAGCCTCTGAGTACACATTCAAGGTCATTAGCAGTTTGTCCGAGGCTGTCTGACTCCGGGGGGGTTTGGACCCGGGGTCTGACACTGTCCTCTTTCCCCAGGTATGCGTCTGACTTCACCAGCACGCTCCAGTCAATACGGAAGAAGTGCAAGCTGGATGAGATTCCTCCCAACTCCCTTTTTCAAGAAGACTGGACAGCTTTTCAGAACTCCGTTAGGTAAAGTGGGGGCTGTAGCTTAAGCCTGTTCCTAATGTAGGAAACATAAGCATGTAGAATGTGGTATATGAAATGGTGACTGTGTCCGTAAGGGGCTGGTTCTTGTTCTCTTGCTGCCATTTCTTCTTCAAAGCAAACACTCTATCTAGCCTCTGAAAACAAGCGACTCAACGAAAACCCACCCACCATATAAAAGCACCAGGGTGGTCCCTCTTGCTCTTACAGTATTTTAAAAAGTTCTTTATGAACTCACCTCCTCTGGGGACTTTTATTTTTTATATTTTGTTTAAGGCTCGCCCCCGCCCCCCAGCCTATGGTTTCTACAGAGCTAAAATAACATGGCGCTTGTATTTGAGAGAACTCGCAGCTGGCTGGACCCTGTTTCTGGATCTCAGAGCCATAGTGTGAGATGGTGAGGCCAGACCCCATGGCCTAGAAAGGGCTGCGTAGGAGTCCCGGTGAAAGGCATTGAGGTGACCCTCCCACCTGGCTGTTGATGAGCAGATCCTGGGTGACCTGTGAGCCCCGAGGCAGACACCTGTTGCCCCAAGCCCTGAGGGGACAGTGTGATGGGCAGTGGCCCTTGGTGTGTCTAACCAGTGGGTGCAGCCAGCTCCGACCTGTGGGCATGTTTTGATCTAAAACACTACATTTCAATTTTGAACACTGCATTTCAACAGAACAATTTTGAATTCATTATCAACATTTAAAAACCAGATTTAACATAATCCGTATTTCTGATTTCACCTAAAAATTGAAGGCTTTGAAAGCTGGGCCCTCATTGCCCCAAGGCCGTGGCCCATTGAGGGTAGTGGCTGGAGTCCCCGCAGACTGGGCATCTGCTCAGCTGTCCTGTGCCTCTGCCACGTGCGTGGTGTCTAGCATCTATACTGTCAGAGGTGAAAAGAATTTAGAAATTTCTCTCAAAACCATTCTTCATGGGTGTACACGCCTCCTAGAGAAGCTGCTTTTTGCCCACTTACAGCTTCTGCCTGACTCTGGCCTCAGCTGGCCGCACTGATGCTCATGACACACGTCAGTGTCGGCAGGTGGCCCAGGCCATGGCGGATCCAGACCCTCCCCAGGCTTCTTTAATCCAGGTACACCCAGGACTACGTCTGAGGACTCTCCCCACGGGCCCAGACCTGGATTTTTTACTTTCTTTGATGAAATGTAGTGTTCTAGATGCTGACTCTGCCCCACCGTCGGTGGTACTGGATGTGCTGGGATATGGGATTCAGTCGGCAGATGTGCCACTCCTGAGGCGAGGGGACCAGCTGGCTTCCTCATAGGCCTCTCTCAGCGGAATGCCGGTACCCGCTGCTGATAGGTACTCTTAAAGAAAGTTAAAAGTTAACCAGGCTTAAGATGTTTTTTAATCCTTGGGTTTGTCCTGACATTATAGAGTAGTGTTGAAGGACTCGGTAGTTGGAGTTTGAGGCCTAGCATAAAATTACTTGAAAATTAAAGGATTACTAAACACAGATATGCTGATCACTCGGGCTGCCTTTCATGCGATCAAAGAGAGATGCCTCTGGTGTCAAAACAAGTTTCTCTTCCATGCCTTGCAAATAGCAGACATCCTACAAATACTAAATAATGAATTTTGGTTTTTAAATTTTGGATACGGTGTATTTCTAATTTGTTTTCTCAAGGACAAAGCCCAAAACACCTCAGTATTTTGGAAATGTGAATTTATTTAATAATGTACTGGGGAGAATTATGATTCAGAGGTTATTAAATGATATTAGAGGGGCCTCCCTGGTGGCACAAGTGGCTAAGTCTCAGCACTGTGAAGCTATTAGCAGCCACTGCAGCATGAGTTTCATCGCAGACTGGGTAGCTGACCCACATGGCACAACAAACCTCTCCTGTCTCGCCCGCTGCTCCCCTCAGCAGTGTATTTCAGTCACTTCTCCTGTTCTGCTCCCTGCTCTGTCTCCGGTGAATTCTCTCACCTCCCATCCCCCCCACTCCGCACCTCTGGCTTGCACCCCAACTCTTGTATGCATAAATAAATAAATCTCTTTTTTTAAAAAAAGGAATACTAGAAAGGACTAGCATTTACGACTGACACTAATTACTAAAACATTTCAGCTAGGTGATCAAATGGTTAACTGCTTTACCAGTTCACTCCCAAAGGAGTGAATAGTTAGAATTTTTATGAATGAGACAATGTTTGTCCTGTAAACGTGGCATTCCAGATACTTGAACGTGAAGTGCTTTTTGCTTTGTTTAGGATAATAGCCACCTGTGGAGAGCTCTTGAGGCAATGTGGAGACTTTGAGCAGCAGCTAGCAAACAGGTAGGCGGGGACTGTGTGCTATTCCCCGGGTTTGTGGTTGGGGGAAGGACTTTTCACACAGCACACAGGACAGCAACAACATAGGGTCACTCTGAAAGCCACCAAGCTCAAGGACTGTCTGTACCTAGATACGCAGTGTCATTATTGTCATCATTACACATTTATTGAGCACCTAAAACAGGCACAACTCTCACCTACTTGGCTGTGGTCACGTCATTTTGCTTGGACGAGGACATCACAGCCTCAATGAGGAGTAGTACATATTGTCTCCAAATTATGAACGGGCTGGGTTCTGTCTGCTTGTTTGTCAGCCAGTTATTGGTACTCAAAATAAATCTCGCCAGGGAAACAAATGGTGGCTTAGTCCCTGGGCCGGCCTACAGCCCTGAAACGACCCCAGCCAGCCTCCTTCCAGTTCTGCAGTGGAAGTCTGTGCCACTGAACAGACTTGTGTCCAAGATTTTTCGGGTCAGCTCTTGGAAGAGTCCCTCCTGCACCCTTGTCCACTCTACCTGGGCTCTTGTGCCCTGAAGCGACCCATTCAGACTGGTTTGCCCCTCAAAGACTCCAGCCTGCCACATTCCCTTCCTCTTAGCTGAAGCTCTCCTCTCCCGGGTAGGCTGTTTTCTCTACTCTAGGAATTGGGGATGGAGAAATCTGCTTCACATTAGAGTTGTGTGAGGGCCTAGCAGAAGCTCCTTCACTCCTTTCTTGGAAAATTCCGTATTGTCCTAAAGACATCTGTGGTAGGGACTTTGTGGCGGTGGTACAATGCGAAGTGAAGCTGGGGTTGGGGGTGGGGCTGAGTCGCCAGCAGGGGGTCACACTTGCTCCCAAGTTGCCTATTTCTTCTTGTCACCACCGTTTGGGTTTCCTTCATTTCTGAACTCTGGATCATCATATCGCTCTGATTCTCCAGGGGAAAGTCTTACAGTGGGTAGAATGGGGGCAGCCCTGGCTGTTCATAACTCCTGACCAGCCTGGCATGAAAAATGTGTAAAACCTACCCCCACAGGTGTGGTGATGCAAGTGAGGCACGTGCCTCCCACACGCGTGCTCACCACCCACGCAGCAAGGGGTGCCAGTGGTAGAGCAGCGAGTAGATCTGGGCTCACAGAGGGCTCCTTAGAAGAGGTGAAAATAGAACATTTACCTATTTAAAGGAAAGGCATGTAGTGTATTATATTCTTAATTACAGTAGTAATTATAGGCTGGCCCCAGCTCATTGAAGAAATTAAAACAGTTCACCAGCATATGAAACGAAAACGCTTTCTCCAGAAGGAACATGGTTAACAGTCCCCTTGGTCCCAGCTGGACATCATTTACTGAGTGAGCTCTGACCTTAAGGGGGTTCATGAGTTCACTGTAATCCCCCAGCGCCAAATAGCTTGCAGGTTCTATTCTTATTCCCCTCTCTACAGATGAGGAGGCGTTGAGGCGTAACGCATGGCATGGGTAGTATCTTTTCAAGTAAAAGTAAGTATTTGGAGAGATAGTTGATTCAACTGAGAGGCAGGATCTGCCCCTGGACACCAGCGGGGTCCAGCAGTGTCCTCACCCCACACTGTCCTTTCTCACAGGTGAGTGCCTGTCCTTGGATTTGAGTCTCTGCATCTTTCCATATTGGACTGACGGGTTTTCTTAACCTTTTAATGAAGGTGAAATTACATTCAAAGCACAAGGGGGATCTTCTTGGGAAGGTGCATGATGGGTGAAGGATGGGCCCGCCTGCATCTTGCATCTTGCTGGAAGCCTGACCCCAGCTTTGGAACGTGGTGAGAGCAGACTTGGTGTAGCCAAAGGAGCCTCTGCAGGAGACCAGGTCATTCTGGAAGCTCTAGAAAAGGAAAAGAGGGACAGCCACCACCTGTTCCCATTAGGGAGGCTGGTGTGTGCCACCTATAAAGCTTATCTTATCTCCCGGTCAATCTCACTGGGGAGCCCGGCTCCTCCCAGGTAGCAGAGGTGATCGTTGCTGCCATTCCAGATCGCTTTGGTCGAAGAGTCACATGGGCTGTTGGGCTCATAAGATCACCTCCTTGCAGAGGGAGATGATTTTGTGACTTATGGGCCACCTTGGGAGTCAGTGCGGGTCTTCTCCTGTGCCGGGGCATTGCCTTGCTCCTCTGTACTTTTGTGGTGCTCATTTCTGGAACACTGGTATTTTCACCAGGACAGGGTCTTAATAGGGCATTTCGGGGCCTCCCCAGTGGCGCAGCGGTTGAGCGCTGGGCTGCGAACCTGCCCGCAGCCTCTGCAGCGCCGGTTCGATTCCCGGCTGCTGGCGAGGGTCCCACATGGCACGCAGACTTCTGCCACACCCGCTGCTCCCCTCAGCAGTGTATTTCATCAGTCTGCCTGTTCTGTTCCCCGCTCTGGCTCTGGTGAATTCTCTTACCCTCCCGTGCTTCTGACTGTACCCAGTGCTTGTATAAATAAATAAATGAATCTTAAAAAAAATAGAGCATTTCAATAGGGCAGTCAGACTCTGGGATCCAATATAAATGTCTGCGTTTCCATGACTGAAGAGAGGCTAGCAACTCTTCATGAAATGAGTTGAGGAAATAGAGGGGGTTGAAATGCCATTCCTCCCTCGATTGGCACATGTCCCCCGTTCTCCTGGCACAGCTGTTAGCACTTCAGCACATATTGAACCCCTGTTCAGCTCCGAGCTTCTTGAGGGCAAGAGCTGTGTAATCATTTGATAGCCCCAAACCTAGTCTAGAGCCCATGGCCACAATGAGAAAATGCTTCCTTGATGAGTCAAGAAATCAAGTGTACCTCTCATTTAGTTCACAGCACTAGTGAATACGGAGCCTAGCAGATCAGGTGCTGAGGTGAGGTCTGGCAGAAGAGGCTAGGGAAAAGATGGCATTGTTCATTGGGGTTGGAGCTGTGTTTGTCCGACATTTTTGCCTACAGTCTTTAACACTGAAGACATTTCTGACATATCTGTCTTCATCCTGGATGGCAGACTGACGCAACGTCCCCAGCTGAGGCCCAGACATGTATTGCCGTGACCCTGCAGAGCAGAGCTGCCTTCCTGGGGGCACAGAAGAGTGCGTAGCTCCTAGCCTACCTGTCATTCACCTTGTGGTTGTGCAGCACCTGCCCAGTGCCAGGCCTGTACACGGTGCTACTGACTCAGAGAGGAAGAACGGTCTGTTCTGTCCTCGCAGAAGTAGCTGCATGTGATAAGAGCCCTGGGAGAGGCTGATGGAGCAGAAGTCTGAGTGCCTGGGGGAAGGGTGACGGCTAGAAAGACCAGCACAGAAGCCACCCCTGGGACCAATCCTTGAATAAGAAATCGAATTTCCCTACATGCACGAAGGACAGGGCGTTTCTGACTGGGGCAGCTCATGAGCAGGGCCTGCCAGTGTGGTGGGCATGGGGTGTGAGCTGGGAGCAGGAGTAGGAGGAATGCAAGGAGGGTGCCTGCCTCACTGCTTTTAATTTCATCCTGGGGGCACTGAGGTATCTTTGGGAAGGAGACAAAAGGAGATTTGCCTTTTGGAAAGGCCATTGTTAACCCTGAAGAGGACAGACTAAGTGGAGTGTGGGAGGGCAGTGGGAAGGTCATGGAGATTCAGACAAGGGAGAATCAAGACTTGGAAGTCAGGCAGTGATGGGGATGATCCAGTTTGGCAGCGAGAAGACCCAACCAAAATTCCCTGTAGGCTTAAGCAACGGGGAAAGCTGCAACTTGACCTTGACGGTGGAGGCAGGTGGCTGCTTGTGTTGGCAGTGGTTGCTGAGAAAGGCCCAGCTCCCCAGGGTTTGTTTGCAGATACAGGCCTTCCTTGACAAGCTCGGGGACTTGTTTTTGAAAAAATGAATGCAACCCAAAGCTTCCAAGTCCAAAGCAATTTTTTCAAAAGAAATTATGATGAGGACTGGGCCAGGGAATTAGCTACACTTGAGGTCTTGTCCTACTGTGTTCACCTGGCTACCTGTGTGCGTGTCATTCTGCACACGTAGATATGGAGACTGGCTGGCAAAGCTGGGCTAAGGAAAGCAGTGGAGAATTTTCGGCCCCCTTGGGAGGGGCGGGGGTTCTCCCAGTGGGAACTAGAGGTCCTGCTTCCCCAGCAGCACCGAAGGTCAAGCATCAGAGAGAGCTTCCTCTGGGTCTTTTTCTTTCTTACAGAAACGGGAAGGTACCAGTTTCTCTCAGGGATCTCTCTCTGGCACCTAGAACAGACTTTATACAGTGCCGATGAGCTCAACCACACAAGCCCCACAGCTGCCATGCTGGGTCCCGTGGGTGGGCACATGGGAGGGCCAGTGGCACCACTGTCCTCGGGAGCAGCTGTCCCCTGCCTGTCCATCACCTTTGCAGGAGGTGGTGCTGGTGGCTCCTCTTGGCTTTGACCACTCCACACAGTGATGCTCATGTAGCAAGAAAGGTCCACGTGGAAAGTGCACAGTGGCTCAGGTTGAGTGAAGTGACAACTGTCCTGTGTGGGCGGTTTGTCCGGTAGGTGACAGTTTCTAGGAGAGTGAGTGTTAAATAGGGATGACCCCCATAGTGTACTGTGCATCTGCACCCCAGCTGACTCCTGAGGCTGGAGTGTGTCTCCATGTCCTTCTGTAATGGACCTTAAATCAATCTGCCTCATGAAACTGTCCCGGGGTACACCTCAGGAGGATCTGAGTGCTCCATGAAGAAAGTGCCGAGCAGACGACTCGGGTGTGACCCTCCTTGTTGTCGTTACAGGATCCTGTCCACAGCCGGGAAGTATCTCTCCGACTCCTATAGCCCCCGGAGCCTGAGCGGCTTTCAGGAAAGCCTCCTGACAGACAAGAAGAGCTCTGCCAGGAACCCATGGCAGGAATATAATTATCTCCAGAAAGATAACCCTGCTGAATATGCCAGTTTAATGGAGATACTTTATACCCTCAAGGTATGAGACCAGACTGATGACATTCTTGCAATGGAAAGGTTTGGGCCTGGCACTCACCCTTTCCCTGGTCCGGGCCACTGGCTCGGTGTGTGAGTCCTGAGCCGAGGCGTCTCCTGCTGCCACTTCTCTGTCTCATTGATATTGCGGTCCTAAGGCATTAATAGACCAAACTGGGTTGGTCCCAACTGAAATATGGATGTAGGATCATATAAATAGTCCTTTGTTGCTCAGGAGAGGCAGACTGGGGCACGTGGCTAGATCTGTGGTCGAGTGGGCTTGTCTTGCCCCCAGGCAGAGCTCAGCTTGCCGGCAGGACAGGCAGAGCTGGATGGCCCTGGCCCCCACACAGGGACACTTCCCCTTCCCGAATGGCGGGGAGGGGGCCAGGCTATATACTCCCTGCGGGCACACACAGCCATGGGGCAGGGGGGAGGGACCCGGCCCAGCCCTTGGGGAAGTCGCTGCTCTTTCCCCAGGAGAGAGGGAGGGTGGAAAGAAGCTAGGAGCCCTTCTAGTGCCAGTTGCTCACATGGCCATCAAGGACTTGGGGATACGTGTTCCCTCCTGTCTGGTCTTGCAGTTTAAGCTCTTAGTTTGCCTGCCATAAAGCTTTGAGCTTGGACTCCTGGGGATCCGGGAACAGGAGAATCTCCAACAAATGGAATGAGCTACACAGACCTGGAAATGGCCCCCATGCTTCTGAGAGTCAGAGCTGTCCTTTCTAGAACCTCTCCTCCCCTCTGAGCTGTTTTGAACCTCCCTCTTGGTGACAGGCAGAGGAGACATGCTGATCCTCTGGTGCTGAAGCCCATCTAACATTGCCCTGATGGGTTGCGAGCTCTGGGGGTTATGGCACAGTATCCCTGGACATGTCTGAGGCCTCAGTGTTGGCCTTGCAGAGCTTCCCCCATCTCTCTGCACCTTGACCCACCAACGGGCTGCATTTGAACTTGAAAAACACTTCGTCAAGCACTTGTGCAAGTTCATTCATCCATGCTTCTGTGATTAGGTTAAGGCAACTCTGTTTATCTTTATTGCTAATCTGATTTATGTCTGTTTGTTGTAATCGGTTCAGTTATAATAGCAAAACTAAGGTTACATTTTCCATCTCCGTATTTTTCTCAGGCTTTTTGAAATTCCTTGGTACTCACACAGGTCTTGCTGCTCTGGCCTCTAGCCGAGTGTGGTTGACCTGACCTCGCTGGGAGCCGAGCCCTGCCCATGGCTCCTGCTCCTTTGTAGTACTTCTGACCATGCCCCACCCCCCATCTTTACGGGATGGTCACAGCTTACTTTTTCCTGAACTGTCATTGCATAAGCTTGTTAGCACAGATGCGTCCCAATCACCTGGGAAAGTGAATTAGAAATCTATACCAGGGCCCCACCACCCCGCTGGGTGGAACCCAAGTATCTGCTTTCCAGCATGTTCCCCAGGGAGGCTGGGGCACAGCCATTGTGGGGACCCCCACTGCTGGAAACCACTCCTCTGTTTACCTCTCTCTGCTTTTTCAAACTGTTTAGCAAAACCTCAGTTGGACTTGAGGCCTAACAAACTATCTCTTGCATTTTCTTGTCTTAGGAGAAAGGGTCAAGTAACCACAACCTGCTGTCCGCGTCTCGCGTGGCTCTGACCCGCCTGAACCAGCAGGCCCACCAGTTGGCTTTTGACTCCGTCTTCTTGCGCATCAAACAGCAGCTGCTGCTCGTTTCCAAGATGGACGTGAGTTTCCTGGGGATTGACACCCTCCTCCCCAAGTCTTACCTCCCTCAGAGCACATTTGCCTTTGAGCTCAAATCCCCTCCCCTGGAGCTCGGGAGATGCCACAGTGAGGCCCAGGCTGGAAGTCCTTTGCGGGGGGGTGGGCGGCTGGAGCGGCTGTGCTCTGGCCAGGGCTTATCTTCACTGCAGCGACTGCGATGCTGTACATCCAGGCCCTTTCTCGGAACTGTTACTTGACTGACTTCACAGTTTGGAGAGGCACAGGCGTGCCCTATCAGGGAGGGAGCTTACATGCTAGATAGGTCAGGGCAGGTCAGAGGAGCTAATTGTCCTCTGAGAATGAGTTGTTTTTAGGTCACAGACATTTCTGGAGAATTGGTTCTAGAGCCTTGCTCAGGAGAGTGCCTTATCGCATTTCATCGGGTGCTTTGGCTGGGTAGCATGGAGGGGGGTCCGTCCTTGATGCCTTTCTGTGTGGCTGCCTTAGATTGGCACACTCTGCTGGCCTTTTCTGCTTGTCCTGATTCATTTTCCAGGGATTTCTTGCTAGTCACACTTTCTCTACTGGCTCTATCTCTCTGATCTCACTTTCCTTGTTTGGCTTCTGGGACAGTCCCCTGACTAATCTTTCTCCCTGGCTCTTCAAGTTTACCTGGGTTCAGGCTTTGGGGAAGATAGTCTTTCCAGAAGGATGCAAGCATGGGCCTTTCATAGCCAAGAGGTCCTTTTAGGAAGGACTTTAGCAGCAGGAACTTGTTGGCGTAATGGCAGGTTCTCTGCTTTCTGCTGCCCTCTGGAGAGTGCTCACTCACTCCCCATGCGACTTGGTATAGGGAAGATGGAGCTACTCCAACTTTTGTTCTCCTGCCTGCCACTAGCCTCGTGGCTGCCACCTGCAGCCTTGCCGTCCTGCCAGGCCTTATTACCTACATGTGATATCGTGTTATTGTAAAGAAGGGCTTGGGAGCACAAGCTCGGGCCACACCTGCCAGTGGGCGAGAAGCTGGAGAGCATGGGGCAGGTGCACCTGTTAGTCGGGTGCCTGGAAAGAGAGATCATCATGAGATCCAGAGAGAGAGGGGTCATTACGAGATTGAAGACAGAAGGGAGTCCCGGGAGAGAGTGCGGAGATTGTGGGGGGTTAGGAGGCTTGGTGGCTGCTTCCTTCCCAGCCTCCCTGCCTGCTGGTCTCCCTATATCTGGCCCCTGCTTCAGCATTAAAGGCCTGTCAAGTCTCCCGAGGGCTCCAAAATTTTCTTTTTGTTTTCTTGACTCAACCATGAACCTGCCCAGGCTGGGATGGTTGCAGACATTTGGTCAAGTCTCAGTCCCTCCCTGCCTCTCCGACTCCTCATCCATAAAGTGACACGATGGACCTGCAAGGTCATGAGGCTCACCCCTGAAATTCTGTGATTTTTATTCTTGATGTTTTCTACTCCAAGCAGATTTTGCTTTCCTAGTGGGTGGGAGGGTGGAGCTGGAGGAGCCGCTGCGTCAAGGGCAGGGGAGTGATGATGTGGACGGCCCGCTGCAGCCTGAGCTCTGGGCCGCATGCCGAGGCCTCTCCTTGCTCTGTGGCCTCACCGACCACGGGATGAATAATTCTCCCCAGACAGGGAGGTGAGGGCTAAGAGCTGCCACGAGGAGATGCTGAGCTGGTGGAGGTTTTCTTCCTTTCTCTGAATCTCATCTTTTTAAGAGGAATGACAGTTTTTTTAAAGAAAAATTATAATCATTTTCAGAAATTGAAGCAATACAGGAAAGTACAAAGAAAAAGGCAATAAACCCCATCAAGACCCCACCATCTAGAAGTAATCAGTGTAAATACTGGGTGTCCTTAGAGCCAGGCCCACTCACACGCTGCAGGCTGGTGGCATCCCCAGCTCTGTAGGGAGAAGTAGAAAGCACTTCCTGTCTGCACGTGCTGCTTTTAAAGACACAAGAGATTTATAATAGAAATTTTACTTGCACTTAACTAGGAAACAAAATAAACTAAATGGCGCCAAAGGAATGGTTGAACTTGAGGTAGTTTTTTCACAACAAAAGATATTATTTTCCAGAAGGTCTCTTCAGAGTTAAGAAAAAGAAAGATTATGGAAACTCTTAAAAGATGGAGCCATGCGTTGTTTTTGTTAATCGTTTTTTTTTCCTCCAAAGATTTATTTATGCATATAAGAACTGGGGTACAGGCCAAAGATGTGGGGGGTGAGAGGATTCACCAGAGACAGAGTGGGGAACAGAACAGGCAGTCTGACTGAAACACACTGCTGAGGGTGTAACAGGGTGGTCCCCAGGAAAGGGGGAGGTTCCAGCTTCCCTGCCCCACCCAAGGAAGGGTGGAGCTGAGCAGGGAGAGAGGAAGTTGCAGAAGAGACTGAGGAAGGAAGGAAGTAGGATGGAGCCAGGAGAACTGGAGGAGGCGCATGGAGCCTAGAGACAAGTAAAGAAACTGCGCTTGTCTTTTGGTCGTGGACGGGGTGACACAGATGTGGGTGAGACCCATGGGGAGGTGACAATGGCAGCTTTTATCTTGATGTTGATTTTGCTCTTTTCCTTCCGGGCTTATCCGGTTGTTTGTGACCCTTTTCTGTGGAATCTGTTATAGGACAGGGAGAGGGGCAGCCCAAACCCCGCAAACCTGCCTATTCTAAATGGGTTCTGCCATCCGCCGTATCAACACAAAACATAGGAGACTTTAATGGGAAGGAACTTTAATAAAAACTAGGAAACAATACAGGTAAGGCAAAGAGTCTAGTTTCTAAATGAAGCACCCAAAGTTACCCATCCCCTCGTGGGTAAAACTCCATCCATATGGGGTCGGCCCAGAGCAAGGCCCCAAAGCCTGCCACAAGTCTAAAGCATCTTCCAGTGGGGACCCACAGAAAAGGGTCACAAACAACCGGACAAGCCCGGAAGGAAAAGAGCAAAATCAACATCCAGATAAAAACTGCCATTGTCACCTCCCCATGGGTCTCACCCACATCTGTGTCACCCCGTCCACGACCAAAAGACAAGCGCAGTTTCTTTACTTGTCTCTAGGCTCCATGCGCCTCCTCCAGTTCTCCTGGCTCCATCCTGCTTCCTTCCTTCCTCAGTCTCTTCTGCAGCTTCCTCTCTCCCTGCTCAGCTCCACCCTTCCTTGGGTGGGGCAGGGAAGCTGGAACCTCCCCCTTTCCTGGGGACCACCCTGTTACAAGGGGAGCAGTGGGCAAAACAGGAGAGGTCTGCTGTGCCATGTGGGTAGCTCCCTTGCCAATTGAGAATCGAGAATCTAGGCTGTGGACAGCTTCACAATCCAGTGCTTAACCCCTTACGCCACCAGGGAGGCCTTTTGTTAATCATTTTAGATGGAGCTTACTATTTCACCTGCTCTCAAAAGTGAGGGATTAACATTCCTTACCTTCCTCATCTCCTTTCCTGACCTCCAGATTTGGTTGCTTTTATTATTGTGGTTTTTTTGTTTTTTTTTGGTCAAAGCTTAAAATCTTGACCTTCTGTTCTGAAACCTAACTTCCAGTTACTTGGTCTTAGTTCTGCATTGAAAAGGGTTCTGTGCTTCCCACTTGTCCTGGGGGCCCCTACTTCTGCATTCCAGAGCTCATTACCCAAGTGGCTTGTTGGTGGCCTGCATCTTACCTTCTCACTCTAGCCTTACCACCGCCCCTGGGGCTGCTGGGAATGGACACAGGCAGCTGGGGAGATTAGGAGGGCTCTCCCCCAGCGCCAGCTTGAAAGCTCACAATACAAAGGCAAATATGAACTTAAGGATTTGAAAATTAAACCCTGATCATTAAATGTTTGTTTTTAATGTTTGCTGGTAAATCGTACTGCCCTTTACATTACAAGAATATAAACCAACACTGTATTCCTTTTCCAAATAGATTATTGAAGTTTACCTGTATTACCTGGTGACAGATGGATAGATAAAGCCCATTTAAGGACACTTTAAATAAATTTTGAACAATTGAAATATAATCCACAGCATTTCCCTGTTGCCCTCTTCAAGTCCACCTCGTCTTGCCTGCTATTTCACCCCTCCCTTGCTCAGTCCACTCTGCCTCACCCTTATTCCAGATTCTTCCACTCTGGATCTGCTCTCCCTCTGCCTGTTCACTTTCTTACCTTGCTGCTCCCACTTCCTCCTGGAAGCCTTTCTCAGGCCTCCAGCCCACAGCACTCGCCCCTCGGACGTCCCCCAGTGACCGTGACCGTGGTCTGTCCCCCCCATCAGCTCCTGCTCTTGTGCTGCCGGCTCAGCCCCTGGCCTCCTGAGCCATTGCTCCCTGACCCTCACTGCTCTGCTCCTTACCGCGCTCCTTTGCCACCATAACAAGTACCAGTGACTCTGCACCAATTTGCTTTGTCCCTTCTCTCTAAGTGTGTCTCCTGTCGCTTTCTGTGCCACTGCCCCCCTTCAGGTTCTCATCATCTCTAAACTGTTTCTTGAGCTTTTTTTTTTTTTTAAAGATTTATTTATTTATGTATACAAGAACTGTACCCCAGTATAGGCCAGAGGTGTGGGGGTGTGCGGGTGGGTGAGAGGATTCACCAGAGACAGAGTGGGGAGAAGAACAGGCGGATTGACTGAAATACACTGCTGAGGGGAGCAGTGGGCGAGTCAGGAGAGGTCTGCTGCGCCATGTGGGTCCCCTCCCTGGCCAGGGATCGAACTCATGCTGCAGTGGCTGTGGATAGCTTCATAGGTTGCATCTTAACCCCTTGCGCCACCAGGGAGGTCCCTGTTTCTTGAGCTTTTTACTGGCTGCTTTCTTACCCTCACTCCTCTGAATTGCTGCGTTGATTTTCACAAAGCATCACTCTGACCTTGCCTCTCCCAATGCAGAACATTCACCTGGAACCCCAAGGCCACAATGTTAGTCTGTTTTTAAAAACTTTTCATTATTCAAAACCACAATGAGAATGGCACACATTAAAAAAGCAGGAAACAACAAATGTTAGTGAGAATGCGGAGAAAAAGGAACTCTCCTGTACTGGTGGGAATGTGGACTGATCCAACCACTATGGAAAGCTGTGTGGAGGTTCCTCAGACTACTAAAAATGAGCTTCCATATGACCCAGCAATTCCACTCCTAGGAATCTACCCAAAGGACACAAAAACATTAATTCAAAAGGATGCCTGCACCCCTATGTTTATTGTAGCACTATTTACAATAGGTAAGCTATGGAAACAACCCAAATGCCCAAAAATAGATGATTGGATCAAGAAGATGTGGTCTATATGCAATGGAATACTATTCAGCAATCAAAAAAGATAAACTGATGCCATTTGCGGCAACACGGATGGCACTAGAAGGGATCATGCTCAGTGAAATAAATCGGAAGGAAAAAGAAAAATATCGAATGGTTTCACTTATGGGAGGATTATAGAGGAACCGAATAAGGGATCGGGGGAAAAAATAACAATGAAAGAAAAAACTAGCAGGCAACCATAAATAAAAGACATTCTGCGAGGGAGGGGGAGGAAAAGGGATCAAAACAAGGGCGAAAAGAGCACAGGGGACTACAGTGAAGGTTCAGAGGTGAACTGGTGGAGGGAATTTTATGGGGAAAACACAATGATGTAAAAGATATAAATTAAAAAAAATTTTCATTATGAAAATGTCACTTCTATGCAAGAGAGGGTTATAATGAACTCCATGTCCTCACTGCCTGGCTTCAACGGTGACCACATCTCAGCCATCCTGTTTCATATGTACCCCCATAGGAACTCTGCAAATAATCATGACTCTATAACCAACCCTAAAAAAGAAAATTAAAGCTACCTTTTCAAACAAAGATTTATTTATGCATACAAGAGCTGGGGTACAGGCCAGAGATGCAGGGGCGGGGGTGAGAGGATTCACCAGAGACAGAGTGGGGAGCAGAACAGGCAGACTGACTGAAATACACTGCTGAGGGGAGCAGCGGGTGAGGCAGGCGAGGTCTGCCACACCATGTGGGTAGCTCCCTGTCCGGGGATCGAATTCATGCTGCAGAGACTGCGGACAGATTGATAGTTCGGTGTTTAACCCCTTGCACCACCAGGGAGGCCCCTAAAACTACTTTCTTAATATCATGAATCAGTATTCACAATTCCGGTTGTCTTATAACGTCATGACTTAACTGAACCGGGATCCAGAGCAGTTCTGCACACTGAGGTTGGCCTATGTCTCCTTTCAATTCCAGGTTCTCCTGCCTCTTTCTCCCTCTCTCCCTTATTGTCTCTCGTAATTTACATGTAATTTATATGTCATGGGCTTTACATTTAAAGCCCGTCTTCATCCTCCTAAGTGCATTCTCCTGGACCTCCCTCTCTGTGCCGCACATGTGGGCCATCTCTAACCCCTGAGCCCTAACTCCTTACTGTACGAGAGAGCCCTTAAAGTGGAGGTCTGTGAGGGCGAGGACAGGGTGTGTGTCTGGGGGGTTATGTCAGGGGCTCTTACTCCCCAGAGCTTCTGGAGAGCAAGGGCCAAGTCTTCTGTCTCTGTCTCTGCACAAGGCTATACAGCATGGACACTGGGTCCGTGGGGGAGGACTGAAGTGTCCCTTCTCAGTGGAGTTAATTAAAACAAGTAGCACATTTTGCAGCTAAAGAGGACTCTCAAGCAAGAACCAAGGGTTTAGACAATTGTAGGGACAGGGGTGGGAAGAAAGAACTTATCCAGAGCAAAGAGAAAGAGACAGAATGGAATTGGTGCTGGAGCGCATGGGGAGGACGCTGAGGCCTCGCCCGGGCCAGGAGCCCAGGGGTGGATGTGGCCATTACATTCCAGGAACGCTACTTAAAGGATCAAGCAACCAGATCAGGCGTCAGGTGGCTGTAGAGAGAAGTTCCAGTGTGACCTCAGGATCCAGTCCAGGAGTCTGACCAGAAAGAGCCTTGTTTTCTAGGCTGGCTTTAGGGTGACTCAGGCTGGAATTAGGAAACTGGATTCTGTGGGAAGGGGTGCCAAGCTGAGCTCTACAGCACGTGTGTGTGGGTGTTGGCCGGCCTTGGAGAGTGCGCCAGGAAGCTCATGCTGTGGTGTTGTCGGCCTTCCCACCGGCAGTGACAAAGATTTGTGCTGCAGAGGGGTCACGAAGGGGACAGAGGGGCAGCTGGTGGGCTTTGGAGCTGCCTTCCTGACCCCTTCCCTCCAAGTTCTGAATTGGGAGAGAATTAGATCCAGAGGGCAGGTAGAAGTGAAAGCAGCGGCTTTAACTTGGTGAAGTTAGCTTGGCCTGCAGAATCACCACCAGCGATTGAGGGAGTGAGGTGAATGAGGTTGGGATATTGCTGCAGCCAGAATAGGCTTCCCCAGCCTCTGTCTTAGAGCTGGGACTTACCTGTGTTTCCCTGGAGGAAGTAGGGTGTCCCTAAAATCTTCAGCGTGCTGAAAAACCATGAGTTAGGCTACCTGCACCCAGCAACTTCCCCAGTCTGCCCCCAACCCTTACACAAGAGAAGCTCAGACCACAGGGTGTGAAACTCTTCCATTTCCTGTTCTGAGTGAGGGAACAGAAGGGCTTGGCCTCCATCAAATAGTGTTTGAGAAGGTGGAGTTGCTCAATGTCATGGATGTTATGGATCCACAGGGCTGCAGAGAAAGAGGATGGATGCTTTCTTTGTGGTGGGCTCAAGGGGATGGTTTCAAGCAGAGAAATCCCTGGTGGGGATTCTGTAGACCAGGCCTGAGCAGAGGCGACACCTGCGGGGAATGACCCGTGCACGGTGTGTTCCCCAGTGTGGTGCTCGCTGTGCTGCCAGATGGCCGTGACATTGATGGCTTCCTCTCCTTCCTTCTCCAGAGCTGGAACACGGCTGGCATCGGAGAAACCCTCACCGACGACCTGCCCACCTTCAGTCTCACCCCTCTCGAGTACATCAGCAACGTAAGAACGCTGGCACATACAGCCCTTCAGACTTTGCTTGATTCTGGCTCTTCTGGGTAAAGCAGGGCTCTGTCGGGATAGTCTGGACCTTTGCTTTTGGTTGGTCTCCACCCATATCCAGAACTTTATCAGATGAAACATGCTGATTTCAGAACCTGACACATCCTCAACCCTCCCCACTTCTCCCGCTGTGAGGTGTGCCAGTCCCCACGGGCGTCAGGGTGTGAGTGTCCTTGTGAACATGTTAGAGAGGGCGCGGGTGTCTGAGTTCTTCTCTCTGGCTTTTCGGAAGAGCAGAGTGTATGTTGTTCTGATTGGGAAGTCAGCAGGCTTTTCCTGAGCACCTACTATGTGCCAGGCCCTGTGCTGAGTGCTCTCATGTTTAACTCATGGCAGCAAATCTCTTCACAGGAGTTGAAGTGATAGAGGCTTATATGAAAAAAGAACCCTGGAGAGCAGGGACTTGAGAATCTCTTCCCCCATTCACCCCTGGGAGTTGACAGTCACCCCACATCTACACGTGCCCTTTCCGTCCTCCTCCCTGCAGTCTAGCACAGTCGCTCGAAAAGTCCCCGTGCGTAAGGAACGCTGCACGGGCCTAAGAGACCCAGCTGCCTGGACCTCGCCTGCGGGCGGCTCCAGGAAGCCTTAAGGACGATTTTGAGGTGGGTGATTTCTGCCTGACACTCTCGCTTCAGCCCACCCTGTGTAAGTGATGACTCTACTGTAGCAGATACAGGGGGGCCTTCAAAGTCACTCATGTTCATTTGGGAGGATGGGAACAGTGTCACGGCCAGGAGGAAGCCGACTTCTGTTTCCCAGCACTGCCCAGCATCCTGTGCTGACGAGACTGTCCAAACGTGGGTGGGCTTTGTGACCAGGGGGAGTAATCTTGTTTTTTAGAATTGAGACAAGGTGCATCACGGTCTATATTGACTCAGGAAGTGATGTTACTGGAAGGTACTTGAGAGATGACCAAATTGATTTTAACGGTGGAGAAGCTGAGATATAGGGGAGTATGGAAGGCTGGGCTGCGTCTCCAGGCTGGCCCTTCCCTCCTGTGGCGACCCCCTGAACTCAGTCCCCACCTGAACTCAGGAAGGAACATGGACGGGACACTCTGCAGGGACAGTGCTCGCTCCTTGTTGGGGCCATGAGGCCGTGTGCGGTCCAGGCTGTTCAGGGCGCCGCTGGCCGTTGCCTCCACACAGGCAAGCCCTGCTCTGGGCACTGGGAGTGGGGGAGGGAGCCATTCCTCCAGCGGCTGCTGTGAGGACGCCAGTTGCCTCACGTCTGTGTCACCCAGAACGAATTTCATCCTCACCGCAGTCTTTCCAAGTAAGTATTAGGTCATCCTCATTTCAGAGGTGATGCAACCAAAGCCCTAGCAGATTAGGTAAGTTGCCCAGTGTCACACGGTGGTGGAGCCAGGACTCAAATCCAAGTCCAGTGACCACAAAGCTTGTCATATTTCCCCGAATCACCACACTTTCCTGGAACAGGGTGTGTATCCAGGACTGTTTATGGAATATGCGAGGATAGTGGACCAAGAGCCACGGGTATGATGACAGGAATCCCTTTCTGCGCTGATTTCCACTGAGCAAATATAGACAGAGCTCCTGCACGAAGCCTGGACACATGATATCTGTCTGGAAACCACAGTCACCCCCAGGATCTAAGGGCAATTAACTGGCCTTTGAGATGTCAGATTTTTGAGATCTGCACCACAGTGGCACCTTGCCTTGGTGAATCCCCTCATCCCCACAGAACTGTGTGGGCACTGTAAGGGGATGAAAGAGGAGGAAATGTTTTGAAAAATTAAAAACAGTACAGGCACGAGGTATAGTGACGAAGATACATTTGTTCAAGTAGTGCTGGGTCCGAGGACTAGGCTCGGCTGCAGATGAAAGGTGCACCAGGTTCAGGAGCGTGCACGTGGCAGGTGTTCTGGGAGTGCTTGTTGGACGGAGACACGAGAAGAGCCACAGCGCAGGGTTCTGACACTAGGCTGCCATCCTCGCATGCCCCCGACCGCTCGCCTGCCCCTTTGCACCGTGTCTGGAGTGACAAACCTGACATGAGATTGAGAAATTCGGTCAGTTGAAAGTGAAGACAGAAACACAAGAGCAAAGTCCATCACCTTCAAAAGAAATGCTCAGATAGGAGACAGAAGCAGGCGGTTGCGGCGAGGCGTGCGGGCCAGCTCTGCTCACCCTCTGCATGCGGCCGCTGGGTCTGCGCATCTCAGCTGTTCACTTTGTGAGATGCAAAGAGGTCGTGTCAGGTTTACATCACTGCTGCCCTGTTCCCATCTCAGGACGGAGAAACTGCTGGGGACGAGGGCTGCACCTGCTGCTCCTGTCTGCCCATCAGGCTGGCAGGGAAAGAAAGAGCTTGTCTGATGTGAAGGAAGAAACTGGGGGCAGGCATGGAATCCAGAGTAAAAGCCTACTGCTCCTGAGGGCTGAGATACACAGTTTAATCGAGGGCCTTTTTTTTTTTTTTTTGTCCAAATCATTTTAATTTTTGGAACGCACAATTTTAAAAATATATAAGTAAATAATTTCAAAGCCTGAAAAAAATTGGAGAAACTCCAACCTTAGAAATTAGCCTCCTTCTCTTTCTCTAGCCTTCTGGAAAAATGATGATTTTGTTGCCATTTTTAAGCTGAAATGGGCAGTGCTTCTTGGTATAGCGATAGTGACCATTTGCCTGGCTTGAGTGAACAATTGCACTAAGTAAATGAATGTGGGAAAGGCTGATTTATTTTGCCATCTGTGTACCTCTTTTTTTTTAAAGATTTATTTATACAAGAACTGGCGTATAGTCAGGGGCACAGGAGGGTGAGGGGATTCACCAGAGACAGAGCGGGGGCCAGAACAGGCAGATGGACCAAAGACACTGCTGAGGGGAGCAGTGGGCGGGGCAGGAGAGGTCTGCTGTGCCATGTGGGTTGCTCCCTGGCTGGCCAGGGATCGAACCTGTGCTGCAGAGGCTGCGGACAGCATCACAGTGCGGCTCTCAACCCGCTGCGCCACCGGGGAGGCCACATCTGTGCACCTCTTTGAAGGGAGCCAAACAAACCATATTCTGTTAGCGCCGTGGACCATCGCGTGTTCAGACTTATCACCGACAGACCACGTTAGTGCTGGGAAATGAGGGTGGTCATGACCCAGCATGTGGTCCTCTGGACTGGGGGGACTCTGGATTCTGCATCAGCTTCTGGACCCCACTCTCTAAGAGGGACCTGCCCCTATGGGGTTGTGTGCGAGGCCAGTTGGAGAACTTACCTTGATTGTCCTTGAACTCAGAGCCTGAGAGTCCGCATCAACTCTAAGTGCAGATGAACGCACGGGATAAAGGTGGACCCCAAAACAACAGGCTCAAGGAACTTTTAAAGATACATGTGTATGATGTCATTGTAACCCAAAACATCAACCTTATTTTGGAACAAAACACGTACTCGCCCTAACACAAAACCGTTGTGAGTCGGAACAGAAACAGGTGTCTAAGTGTCCCGGTGTGGCAGGCACGCGGATCTGAGGGACACACGACAAGCCCTGAGGGTTTCGATGATCTTCTTTTCCCAGAGTTTGTATTATGAAAACAGTGTCATTTCCTCTCCAGATTAATTTATAATTATAAATGGCTTTTTTTCTCCCCAAACGATTCCTTCCTTCTCTTGGAAGGGAGAGACTGGACCCAAGTCCACAACACAGGATTTCAGTTCGTGCTTGGCTGTGCGCTTGTTGACATTAGCATCTGGTTGCCATCTGTGTACCTTTTGTCTGTGCACAGTAATAATGACTTATATTTACATAAGCGCTTTAAATTTGACAAAATTTACACTTTGGTATCCATGACCTCATTTGAGGTAGAGGTTGCACTGAGTGCATTCCAAGATGCGGGGGGCCGTTAGCGAGAGGGGTGAACCCACGCTCGCCAGGCAAATACCGTTGATTTCTTTCAAGGTGTTGCCGTATCCAGTGTCCCCACATGCCGGAAAGGGCAGGCTTGGGGCGCCCCAGGCCTGGGGGTTTAGTCTCGCTGCCATTTGCCACGAACACACTGCGTGGAGTCATTATCTGGTGGAGCCAGTGTGGGGCTGACATGCTTGGTTTTGCTTCAGATCGGCCAGTACATCATGTCCCTGCCCCTGAATCTGGAGCCGTTCGTGACTCAGGAGGACTCTGCCTTGGAGCTGGCCCTGCATGCCGGGAAGCTGCCGTTTCCTCCCGCGCAAGGTGAGAAAGTACCCGTATGGAAGGCAAAGGTGGGCTCAGGGCTGTACCTGTTCCTTTCAGCCCCTACCACCTCGACACATACACACATCTCCAACCACCACCACCCCCACCACCAAAACTGTTGCCAAGGGATGAGATGGCAACAGAGAAAGAGTGTGGTCCACCTAGCGGACCTAGCTCCCGCTGCAGAGCCCCTGCAGGACAGAGTGGGTTAGCCAAAGAGCCGCCCTAACGGTCTCACCAAAGCACTTACGGATGGAGGGAGTGAACTCACAAGGCGAGGCCCAGCCTCAAGTGCTCGCCCCCTCCCTGTGGGCCCCACACCTTGTGCAGCTTGGCTCTTAGGACAGAGACGGCTCTAGCGCGGAGGCGACATATCCTGCCCAGGCCCCTCTGGGTGAAGCTTGCATCCAACTCCCGCGCTCCTGCGGCTCCACACAGTACAGGACACTCCTCTTTATCTGGGGCTGACAGATTTGAACAGGTGCCTCATGTGCTGATCAAAATCTTTGTCATTCCTCACGTTGGGTGTTAAAGTTTGTAGGCACGAGCAAACAGAATCACTTATTACCTAAAAGATTCAGCAGTTGGAGAGGAGGGAGCACACTGGAAGTCACATCTGCAGGTTAAAATAAAGGACTCTAAAGGCTCATGTATATAAATGCAAATAACGAGAAAGCCTGACGACAGCGTGACCGTCAGATGAAGTTGAATCTAATCAAAGGATAAGTGGGGGCGAACATAAGGTCCTCACAGACAGCCATCTTTTATTATTAAGATGCAAAAGCAAGGTGCAAAACGATGTATGTTTTCTTATGTCTGACAAAACCCGGCCTGTGTATTTCCACACACGCGCACGCCTGGAAAAGCACCGAGAGCAGGGCTGAAAACACAAGCCTGGCTGGTGCTGGTGGCCACTGACAGGCAGGGAGCGGGCGAGGTGCTGAGGGATCCTGACGCTTTACTCACTGGATTTCTGGATTGTCTGAAAGGTTTTCTTTTTTTAAATATGTGTGTATATGTATGAAATCACTTCTCTGATGAGTATGAGAAAGGCACGTAGCCAAGCTGTTGATTATCGTCACTAGAGGGCTGTTAGTTTATGAAGTGATTATTTTTATCCACCTGCTAATATACTTTTAAGTCTAAAATCTAAAGACACATTTTCATAGACATTTTCTCACGCATGAAAGTAGAACTGTGCAAGGAAGCCCCGGGTCCTCACCAGCCCACTTAAGAAACACTAGCTGTTTCACACGGCCCTCTTATGCCCTCCGCAAGGGCATTTAAATCAGGCATCCTTATTTCACCTGTGAGTACTGCAGTTGGCCTCTCCTGTTGATAGGATTAAATTCAGGTTCACACTCTCTCTGGAAAACCATGTTGCCGTAAATATTGTAGATCCTGCCAGGAAGGACCCACTGTCTTACCTGGACCCCCAAACACCTGAGTGCATTGAGACACAGCGAAAACAACCACCAGTTGTTTTCATTCACGCCTTCATCCGTGCTGCATTTGGGCAGTTGGAAAAGGATCTTGGAGCCTTCGGTAGACTTGGCCTTAATGCTGAAGCAGGACCGGAGATGGGCAGACCGGCAGGCAGGGAGACAAGCAGGCAGCCCCTGAGCCTCCCAGTCCCTGCAATCTCTGTGCGCTCTCCCTGGCTTCTCCCTCCGTCTCCCCGAGTCCCTCTCTTGGCTGGGGTGTCCGTCATCAAAGGTTCATATGACGTGCTCATGCTCCCCAGCTCTTTTTGCAATAACACATTATCACATGTGGGTCAGGAAAGCTCAGGAAAGCCAGGGCACAGGTGGCAGCTGTGGAGGCTAGCGGTGGGAGGGTGAAAAGGAGCCTGTGTTCCTCCATGTTCCTCACGGTGGCCTAGGGTGGAGGTGCTGTGGGTGTGGGTGCTGGCCCACGTGCTGGCCCCCTCCCGCAGTGACTCACACTGACACCATGGTGTCTGTTGCACTGAGTTTGGCTGGGCCCATGCAGGGGGTGCTGCTGTGGAGCCAGGACCGCGCTGCTTAAATCTCGCAGGTGAAACAAGTCTCAGAGAGGCCAGGCCCTGCGCTTGGTAGTGGGAGAGCGGCCTGGAAGCCTGGCTGATTCTCACGTGCTGCCTGTGTCTTGACCATTCCGTCTTCCGGCGGGCTGTGCCAACGCTCCTGCCGTGTCCCTTTGGGTGCGGGCTCCCTTCTCACTGGGTCTCCCTCTGTGGAATTCCTCTGGGCTGCCTGCCCACTGCACACAGTCCCTGGGCCTGTGGGAACACTGACGTTATTCTGCCTCACCTAATTGCTTCCTTATCTGAATCCTCATTGTGCTTGGTCAATTCCACTTGACCGAAGATGTCATTGTTCCTTCCCTCTGTTTCCCATCAAGAACGCAAGCTCCCTGGCACGTGTCCGTAGAGCACCTGTCGTGGGCCAGTTCATCCAGAGGGTTCTGTAGAAGCCACCTGAGCAGGTGGTTTCTCTGCTGACACCCTGTCCCTTTCCAGGGGATGAATTGCCCGAGCTGGACAACATGGCTGACAATTGGCTGGGCTCGATTGCCAGAGCCACGATGCAGACCTACTGTGACGTCATCCTCCAGATCCCTGAGCTGACCCCGCACTCCACCAAGCAGCTGGCCACTGACATCGGTGGGTCCCCAGGACAGGGTTCTGCTGGGAAGTCTTTATGTGTCTCCTGACCCCTTGAGTTCTCCACCTGGTCAGTGGGAATCCCTGGGGAGGGACACCCAGAAGCCAGGAGCCCCCAGTGTAGAGTCCGGTGAGGTCAGCTGGCCCTTCAGATGGGGGCTGGAGAGGTGTGGGGCGGTGGGAGTAGAGTTAGAATTCTAGACTCGGCCAAGCTTGCAGGCAGGTGAGCCTGCCGGAAAACCCTCAGGTAAAGGCCTGCCTGCTGAGGGCAGGGGGCATCCTGCTTTGGGGGTCTGGGGGGGCATCTCTGTTTCTTACTCAGGGGAGGCCTTTTGGGGTTTTCATCCCACTAAGTCTGCCGGGCTGTGTCTGCCCCCCGCCCACAGACTACCTGATCAACGTGATGGACGCCCTGGGCCTGCAGCCGTCCCGCACGCTCCAGAACATCGTGACGCTCCTGAAGGCCAAGCCCGAGGAGTACAGACAGGCCAGCAAGGGCCTGCCCCGCCGCCTGGTCAGCACCGTGGCCTCCATGCGGGGTGTGGACTACTGACCCCCAGAGCCCGCCGCCCTCCAGAGGGGGCCTGCCGTAGAAACGCCCCCAGGATTGGGCGGAGCTGGTTTTAAAGACTTGTTTCATTTGTATAATCAAAGAGCTTGTACATCAGAGGGATATTATTTATTAAAGAGGAATTCTCAGATGATTTTTTTAAACATGTCGAAAATGGAATTAATAAATGCCACGACATGGACGAAGGCCTGGCCCCCCTTCCTTCCTCTTCAGGGCCTGCGCGGTGCTTCCGGGGGCCGGGCCCGCGGGGACACGTGGGAAGGAGGCCCTCGGGAGGGGAGGCGCCGAGAATCAGGGTGGCCACGAGGATGAGGTGAGATGTCAGCACTCGTGGCCAGAGGGGCCCGGGTGGGCACCTTGGAGAGGGCGGGCAGCACCCCGGGGCGCGTCCTGCGGAGGGAGCCTGGCGGCCGGGCCGCGGTCAGCGTGCAGAGGGAGGGAGGCCAGAGGCTCCTGCAAGCCGTGGCGAGACTGACTTTATTTTCTCAAATGGACAGGATGATGTGGATTCTGTCAGGTTTTGGTTTTTCTTTTTTTCCACCGTAGCTCGTGTGTCTGTTAAGGGTGTCCTCGCTGCAGCAGCGGCAGGATGTGCTTTGATGGACTCAGATAGGAATTGGCGTTTCTCAGTAACAAGGTCCAGCGGTGGTGGCTCTGGGCTCTGATTCAGTGATGGATGGAGTCAGGGCCTTGCCCAGCCTCTGTGACCTTGACCTTTCCCCTGGGTGCCGGGCAACCCCTGCAACCCCGGGGAGCACATCCCCCTTCAGGGGGAAGAACGCAGAGCTGGCAGGTGGGGCAGCCTTCGCCCCTCGCCCACCCTCTCCGAGCCCACCCCGGCCATCTCTCGATCCCCGGCATCTCCCCAGCTGGGGAGGTGGTGACCGGGGCTGGCCTCCCCCAGGGTGCAGCCTCAGCATTTGGGCTGCACGGGTGCGTCCTGTGCCTTGTAGTTATCGAGGTACATCCTTGGCCTTGCCCCACGGGGTCTTGGTGGGGTCCTCTAGTCACGACATCCAAAATGTCTCCAGAAAGGACCCAAGGGGCAAGACCACCTGCAGACGAGAAGCCCTGGCCTGGACCAGTCCGGATTTACCCCCAGCCTGGGCTCGCTGCTGCGCTGGACGCTGGGTTTGTGTTGGCAGGAGAGGAGGGAGGCCCCGTGTCTCTTTCAGGGGTCCTTTACCGGAATTGAATGCTTCCTGTGTTCCTGGAGACAAGGTGTGGAGAGCTTGTGGGGCCTGGCGGAGGGGCTCAGCCCGGTGACTGGCCTCTGCATGCCTGACCACTGGCCAGGCAGCCCACAGCGATACCAGCCCCAAGGGGTCTGCCTGCCTCTGGGTGCCCACAGCCTCCTGTGAACCAGCCCCCCAGGCTGCCAGTGCCGTGTCCCTCTGGCCTGTGGTCCAGGGGTTCCCACACATTCTGTCCTCACATCCCTGGGAACCAGTTTGGCCGGCCCCGAAAGCATTGTCTGGGAACCTGGACCAAGACAAATATTTTGGTTTCTCGTGTGAGGAATTGCAGGCTGTTTTGGCAGGAGACGGGTCTGGCTGCTGCCTTGAAGTGACAGCCACGAGCCTGGCAGGTGAACGGTCTGGGCTGCAGCGGAAACCCCTTGTGGTAACTGCACCTGAGTCCCTGGGCTGGAGGGACAGGCTTGAGCTCAGGTCCTGGCTTTGCTGCCTCCCAGCTCCAGCTGTGTGACCTTAGGAAAGTCACTTCACTTCGCTGAATTCATTTCCTAATTGGAAAATGGGGGTCTGTTTTTCAGCTATCCTGGGTTGAGTAGGTTCATCTTGTTTTTGCAGATGAAAAAATTTCGAAGCCCTCAGTAGATTTTTACAGGCTTTTAATTCTGAATCAGGGGACAGACCAGCTTTCTCTCTCAGTATTTCTCTGGCTGCCTCCCCTCTGTCGTCCTGCCTCAGAGTGACTCGGACCTTATATTCCCTCTCCCCTCGTCAAAGATGCCCCAACACACATATGCGCATGCCCCGTGCCCTCTGGGACTCTGTCCACAGTTACAGGTGTGCGTGCAAGACCGCAGGTGCTGGTCCTAGATGCTAATGGTGGGAGGGCATAAAAAGCCTGATTTTTAACTCATTTACCCCCCAGGGTCACCATGGTACCTAACTCAGGATTGTTTGAAGAACCACTGAGAAGCAGAGGGGTCAAGGGCATGTAGTAAGTACACGGTGTGTTAATTTCAGAGTCCTCCACTGTCTGTGAACCCCTTTTGAAGTAGAATGTCATTTTCTGGGCCCCTATTTTTTTTTGTTGTTGTTGTTGTTGCCAGCCTAGTTTTTCAACCTCAAGAGACTGTAGGAACCCCAGGTGGGAGCAGGGTGGTGCTTCTCTCTGCATCTGGAGAGGAGACGAAGCCTGTCTGGCCGACGCAGCCGGCTTCCAGAGATGGCCGACACCCATCATCACCCTGGCCCTCAGCGCTCCCCCAAGAGCAGGGATCTCAGCAGATGCCCCGTCAGGCTGGTCTCTGCAGCTCTGGGGGCACCCTTCCCACTCCAGCTTCCAAATGTATGAACAGAACCTCTCCTGGTGTCTGTCGGGGCTGCTGCCCCTAAAACTGCCCAGGGCTGGCCGGCAGCATCTCCACGCCCTCCCGTCTGTTCAGGGCGAGCATGTGTCCGGGCTGATCCAAGTGGGGCTCTTCCTCAGGGCATTTGCTGGGACCCTGTGAAGGAGGAGCTCTCTGCTCAGCGTGGTTGCTGAGCTGAGGGGGCAGAGCTTAGCAATGTGGGTATAATGTAGCACACAAAGAGGACCTATTTGGGAGGAATATCAACACGCAAGAAAACAGAACCGGTAGCTGGGAAACCACCCAACCTGGATACAGCCATGCCTGAAATCCCTGGACTTTTTAAATAAGAACCCAAGACTTCCCTTTCTTTTTCTTTTTCTCTTTTGTTGCTGTATCATAGGTTTCCATCTGTAGGCTAAAGAAAATGTCAGGCTTTTCTGCCCTCCCGCCATCAGGATAGATGATGGATCCTTGCAGTCCTGAATGCAGGCCTGATGGCGGGCACCTGGAGTAGGGTGTGGGCATAGGTAGATGGGATTCACCTGGGCTGAGACTGGGCTTTTTAAGGGCGGCGTCACGGGGACGCCAATAGAAGCTGAGGAGAAACCGAAGAGAAGCCAAGAGAGAAGCAAAGAAGCAGAAGCAGAGAAAGCCAGAGAGCCCAGATAGAGTGAAGATTTGCTGGGGGCTGGGAGGCCTGCCAGCCTCCCGGCCCCCCAGCACCCCTGCCTGCCCTGTACCCGCTAAATCCCAATAAAAGACCTGCAAAAATCCACTAAGGATTCTGACTCCTCCTTTACCCGGTCTGCATGGGATCAGAAAACCTGCCCCGTGTCCAGTCCTGCCTCTACACCATCCTTGTCGGTGTTTTGACCGTATAGGACTCTCACACTCAGGTGTAGTCACTGTAGCTCTCCCATCACAGAAGCACCCATAGTCCTCCACCACAGCGCCCTGTGCTCCTTCCACCCGGTTCTCACCCTCCACCCCACCCTGGGTGTCTCTGTTCCACTTTCAAAGCTTGGTTTTAAAGTTTGTCTTTGACCCTTTGTTTGAATTCTCTTATTCCACATATAAGTGACACTATCCAATATTTATCTTTCTCCTTCTACCTTATTTCGCTTAGCATCATCCCTCCCAGCTCCATCCATGTTGCAGCTGCAAATGGCATGAGTTTATCTTTTTTGATCGCTGAGTAGTATTCCATCGTGTGACCTCCTTTGTAGCTTGACTCAGTGCAAATTAATTTGTGACCAAAAAGCTGGCAAAAGGATCTAGATTGTCATTGCTCTGCCCGCCCCACTGCATCAGAGGAGGCAACAAATCCGAAAGCCCTGGGCTCCTGTTAGGGATTGGTATTATTCCAACTATCAACTATTGGCACCAAGAGGTTGAGGCTGGATGGGGTCTCACCTCATCACTTACCGGGATTGTGATCTTGGGAACCTCGCTTTACCTCTCTGAGTCTCAACTTACTTACCTGCAAATGGAATGATAATATTTCTCGGTGGTTGTGAGAAGGAAATAAGATTTATAAAGTACTTGGACCAGTGCCTGGCATGTGTCAAGTGCTTGATACAACGTAGCCTTTGTTTAATCACAACAAATGATAATAGCAGGGATGATACTACTGCCAGTAATGAAAGCAGTAGTCACAGTCAGACTGTAACTACCAAAGACTGTGACTCCAGCTGGCAGACTCAGTGCTGAGGGGTAAGCTCAGCTCCCCACCCCCAGCTCCCCCTCCCCCAACTCAATCCCTCGCAATGCCTCCCTTGGCTGGAGTGGCCCCCAGTCTGTGGCGCTTCCTTCCTCCACAGATGCCCCTGTGAGCTCCAAGTGGGGCTGCCTTCCAGGCCAAGGAGCCAGGTGATTTCCCCCAGGAGGGCTGCACCCTCAGAAGCTGCTGCCCCACAGCCTGAGTGCAGCTGCACCTGCCAGACCCCTTCTGTAACAGCTTCCTAACCGAACGAGGAGCCATTTTAGGATTGCTGCATTTAGCAATTAAAAATACAGAAAGCCCGATTAAAGGAATGATTTATTAGTATATGTCCCAAACATTTACACGGATGTACTTCTATTAAAAAATTAATTTGCAACGTGTTTATCTAAAATTCAAGTTTAATTGGCGACCTGTATTTTATCTGGCACCCCTAGGAACCACGGCCCCACCAGCCTCAGGCCATCTAATTCTTCTCTGGGGCCCAACCGGCCTCAGGTGAGGCGGAGGCTGACCAATCTGAGCCCCTGTCCAGCGGGACGCACTGATTGGTTCAGAGACAGACATGTGACCCCTCCAGTGACCAATGAGAGTCAGCCCCGGAACCGGCCGCGCTCATTGAGAAAAGCGCCCTCTCCGCTGCTGTTGCTAAATGGAGACGTGGCTTTGGAGTCCCAGTGGCTTTTTTTTTTTTTTTTTTTTAATAATAAATTTTATTTTTATATTCCCCATACAATTGCAACCCCCCCATTCTGACCCCAATCCCTCCCCTCCCGCCCCCCACCCCCCAAAAAGTGTCTCTGGTTCATAGTTTTTTGTTGATTTTGATTTTCACTTTCTTAAAGTTATTCATTTTCCTGGTCCCTTATTTAAGTTTTCTAGATTCCTGCTATGAGTTTTTTTTTTCAGCAATGTAAGGAGCGCCTGCCTGGACGACCAGAGATGGACCCTCAATTTGCATTGCTGAGACCCTTTTGCTTAAGTCACTATGAGTATCTTTTCTTGCTCTCTCCCCCCACCCCCTTGTAACCCAAAGAACTAAGTGGGGTGAACTGAACTTACTCTGAATAGAGCCCCAAGGCCACGAGTCAGGGACAACCTGAAAGGGACATTAAGACCAGCCGCCCAGCCCGAGGCATCTTTCCCTGGCCAGGCCTGTGCGCTCAAGGATGGCCGCCCGGCCCCCACCCCGGAGCGGCCTCAGAGGGCACCCGGCCGCCAGCCCGACAAAGAACACAGCTCGGTTCTACGTTTCCTATTTTTTATTTTCTAGAACAAAACATATGCCCCCTTGCAGGGTCTCCTAGCCCGATGCCCTTCTGCTCTCCACAGCCCATGCCCTCCCTGAGCTCGTGCGAGAGGTCAGCCCCAGCAAGGCGAGCTGGGGGCTCACCAAGGTCAGCCAGGCCAGGAAGGGGGCGGTGTGGGTTCTGGGCACAGACAGCACGGAATGCTGCTCCCGGGCTGGCCCGGAGGGGAAAGGCACCTGCCTGCAGGTGAGGGTGCTGGGGAGCTCTGGGACCCGGCTGGGGGTGCCCAGGCCAGGTGCAGGTCACCTGGGGGTGGGGCTGGGGGGCACAGCGCTGGCATTGCGCCAGCAGCGGGACCCCACGGGGCGCAGGTCTCTCGGGGGAGGGACAGACCTCGGCCTTGGGACCCACAGGCCTGGCCCTCTGGAGAGGGCACCTTGAAGAAGACCCGGGCATGGTCTGGGCGTCTCGGGTTTGAGTTCTCGGCTGCCTGGGCGGACGGGGGGGTCTAGACGGCGTCCCCCTCGCTGTCAGACTCGATGACGTCCAGGGGCTGCAGGCGCAGGGAGTCGTAGTTGGGGGGCGGGGTGCCCGGGATGGGCAGAGCCTGCTCGTCGGGGTAGGCGCGGGCGGCGGGGCCACGCGGGGCCACGTCGGGCTGGAAGCCGAAGTTGGTGTGGGCCTCCACCAGCTCGGCCACGGTGGGCGGGGGGCCGGCGTAGCGCGTCGGGGTGCGCCTCCGCCGCAGGCCCCTGGCCAAGGCCACCAGCTTGATGATGGTGATCCACACGAAGTCGATGATGATCTCCCCGAACTCGATGAGGCACAGCACCGAGCCCCCCATCCAGAAGCCAAACTGGCCACCCAGGTTTGAGAGCAGCCAGACGATCTGTGGGGAGCAGGGGGCTGAGGCCCTGGCAGGGCCGCAGGGGTCGGGGGATGTGGTGGTGGTGGGGGGGCACAGGTCCTACCTGGACCCCGGGAGCTCACGGGTTCCTGTGAGGTGGGTGGTGGCCGCGAGGGGCAAAGGCAACTATTGCAGCCCAGGGAGAGAACTTGGGACCTTCTCAAGTCCCCTGTTGGGCCCAGGACCCTGTCCACCCTCAGGGGGAGGACAGGAGGGGTGTGGGGAGAGGCAGGGCAGGGCTGAAGTGGCAGGAGCCCCCAGACTCACATTGTTGGCTGCAGACTCCTCAATAGTGCGGTAGTTGAATTCTTGGAAGTAGATGTTGAGCTTCATAATTCCCTTCCTGCAGAAACAGGAAGAAAGCGGTGCCCCCGCCTCAGACACACGCACACGCGCACACACACATGCACACACACACATGTGCGCGCCTGCTGGCCGAGCTTCTCTCAGGCTCACTCCCTTGAATGGTGAGGTCCAGTGAGGCCCAAACAAGAGCCAACAGCACTGCCTTCCCGGCGCCCCCTGGGCCTGGAGCCACAAAGGGCCCAGAGTCCACCCTGTGGCACCTCGTTGAACCCGCTTCCTAAGAACACTGGCCTGAGACAACCCCGAGGACGGGTTCTGAGCTCCCCCAAGACCCGGCTAACAGGCGGCGGCGGGCGCTGCAGGGTCCCAGGCCTGCTCCTTCCAGAACAGCGGCTGAGGGGCTTCCCCTTCCACCCGGTGGTCCTCAGATGGGGATCTCCCACACCGCGCCTCTGTCTGGGCCGCTTCACTCTTGTTAGTCTGAGCAGTCCCTGCTCCCCCAGATCCAGCTGGGTCACTCCCCATGCAGACGCCTCTGCTCTCAGGCAGCTGGAGGCGAGGCTCCTTCCCTGCTGTGCCCCCAAGTGAGGGTCTGGTCGGAAGCTCCTCCTCACAAGCTGTGGGCATCTCTCCTCCACGCTGGAGCTTCCCGAGAGCGGGGCCCGTGTGCTGCTCTTGCGCGCAGCGCACACTTGTGTTGAGGGGCTGGAAAGGGGGCGAGTGGGAGGAGGAAGGTGGGTGGGTGCAAGGGTGGAGGAAGGGACGGATGGACGGTGGGGGTCGGGGGGTAGGTGGCGGGTGGTGGGTGAATGGAAGGGTGGGTGCTGAGTGGAGTGATGGATGGTGGGAGGGTGGGAGGGTGGAACAGGTCGGGGGGGGCTTGGGGGTGGACGGGTAGAGGCGTGGCTCTCCTCGAGGAAGTGTGGGCTCTGCGTCCCCGCCGGCTGGAGTCTCGCCCTCCCCGGGCTCCCCCAGGCTTGCTCCTGCCTCTGCTGGTGTGCGGAGGCGTCCAGGGATCTGCCCTCTGCTCAGACCTGTCCCCAAGGCGCGCGTTCTTTCCCTTTCGCCTTCCCCAGCCCTGCCCAGACCCCAGGCTCACCTGCTCAAGGTGATATTAGTGCTTTGATCCCGCTCCTGAGACAAGACGTGGAAGATCCAGTCCTGGAACCAAGAAGGCAGCTGAAACAATGGTGCCTGCGGCAGCCCCGCCCTGTCCTGGTCCTGCTTCCCCGTGGAGGCAGACCCCGGCCCTGCGGCTTCCTGAGGTCCCCTGGGGACCACGCGTGGGGGGTGGGGTGGGGGGAGGCAGTGGCTGTTATGGGGAGAAGGTGCCAGATCGCCAGACTCCCCCCGACAGCCCGCGGAGCCATGCCCCTCCCGTCCCCAGCCCAAAGACGGGGCCGGGCGCTCGGCCACGCGGCCGTCTCACCTCGGAGGCCACAGAAGGCCAGTCGGCCATGGAGATGGTCATCTTGTACTGGGTGTCACTGGAAGAGAGAAGGCAGGGTGTGGCTGTCCCCCCAGCGTGTCCCCTGGGGCCCCGGGGCCCGCCCGGCCCGCGCCCCACTCACTTGCAGGACTCCTTGCACAGGTGGATGCAGGCCTCCCTCTGCGCCACGCTCCTGCGCAGGCTGGAGTAGCAGTAGGCTGCGCGGGGGACAGGCAGGCGGGGCCCCGGGTTTTCCTCTCCCCTCTGGCTGGCCCCTGCCCTCCCGTCCTGCCCGCCCGAGGCCTGGGCTAGGCTGGCGGGAAGGTCTCAGTCCACACTCCGGCCCCGGAGACTCCCCCGCCCCACCCCTCTCCCCGGCTGTCTCCCCAGAAGCCCCAGACTCTGCGCACAGCCTCCGAGCAGCAACCTTGCCCCCAGTCCTGGGGGACAGGGGGTGGAGGGAGGGCAGGGGTCAAGCTTCCCCCTCGTCTCCACGTTGTGTTGGGTTTAGGAGGGGACTGCGCTCTCTCTGTGGCTGCCCGTCCCGGGCTGTTCACACTCCGGACCACCAGGGCCGGGCCTGGCACCAGCTCAGCGGGAGTGAGACGGCCGAGGTCGTCCGGGGTCGTGTGGCTTCTGGTTTCAAGCTCCGGGGAGCCACCCCCTCTCCCTTCCCCGCCCCCCTGAGCCCACTCAGGCGCGGACACGTGCCTGGACCTAGCAGGCCTTGTGCTTGCACACCCGTGCGTGTGCTCAGACCAGCACACACGACAGCGCACGGGAGCGGGCACCCTGCTGGCATGTGAACACGCACAGGCACAGTGCCCGGCTCTTGAGTGCCCCACATTGGCCCCCCAGTGCCTTTCACAAGTGTGTGCAAATGTAAACACACACAGGTGCACCTGCCAGCGGCGGCGTGTGGAACACCCACACCCCTTGAGGACGAGGTCACTCCCTCGCACACGTTCCCAGCTTTCACTGGGTGGACTGGGCTGGGAGGGGCTGGGGCCTGGGGGCTGTGCAGGAGAGGCGCGCCCTGGGGCCCCGCGAGGGCTTGGCTCTTCACCCCCAGCTTGTGGTCAGAGCCCTCGTGGGCAGTGGCCCAGCGGGCTAGGGCGCCCCACTCACCCCAGTCTGGGAAGTCCCGGGTATTGCAATATTTCTCCCCCTGGGGCAGCGGGTACAGGTAGTGGCCGCAGCTGCAGTTGTGGATCATGTGGTCTTGGAAGCAGGAGCGAATGCAGGCCTGGCGGGGGTGGCGGGGCGGGGGAGAGAGACCGTGAAGTGGCCGCCTACCCCAGCCCAGGGGCCAGGGGCCGGCTCAGGGAGCCGGGGAGCAGGCGGTGCCCCTGCGGCTGGGAGGCTGGGGGGCGGTGGCTGAGCTGCATGTGGGGGGCGTCCCCCCATCCCTAGCCTTCCAGGGGCTCTCGGGCCAGGCTCCCCTCGGAGATTGTCCTGCCACCCTTCAGAGCCGGGTCCCCCGGAGGCACCGGGAGGGAGGCCGGTTCCAAGCGCCAGCGCTGACCCTCCGCGCGTCCTCCCAAGGCTCCTGCTCTTCCCGTCTTCCGGCTGCACCCGGGAAGGGCAGCCCCGCGGGGGGCGGGCAGGCGGGCCCCGTGTCCCCTCCTCCTGGGGGGAGCCGCTCAGCACAGGTGAGCAGCAGACGGTCCCCGGGGGTGCCGGGAGGGGGGACTTGGGCACTGGAGGTGACGAGTCTCCACTCATCAGGCCGCGCCCTCCGGGCTCCAGGCCCTTCCCGCTGGCTGCGGGGCCAGCTGCGTCCAGGACTGTCGGAGCCTCTGGGTCTCCGTCCACTCACGGGGTGGGGGGGGCCTGGGGACAGCTTCCCACAGTGGCCTTGGGGTCAGGACGGGAGGGGAGCCCCCAGCGTCCGCAAAGGGGCCGGAGGCCAATATGAAGAGGGACTTCTTGGAAACTGAAGAGGGTTCGGGTGGGGTTGGGGGTCTGGAGATCCCAATTTCCTCTTTCCTAATAACAGGATCTACAGCTGAGGGCCCTGAGAGGCTTAAGTGAGTTAATGTATCTGTAAAGTGCCTGGAAAAGGAGCTGCCTCCACACGTAGGCCTGTTCCTGGCGTATTAATAAACGCTTGTAACGCGCGATAGTGGATGCTGTTGCCAACGGGCTGGCAGATGCCAACAGCAGCGAGCAGTCATCGTTAGGGTATTATTGCCTCACAGGGGTGTTCAAAGCACGACTCGCCTGCCCTTACCATAGCGTTTCCCACACGGGGGCTCTTCTCGGGACACCCCAGAGTGAGATCCCTATCACCCTGGGCCTCCCCAAGGGCACGCCTGCCAAGGGGGGTGAGAGGCGAGAACCCGGGGACCGGACTGGGCCCACAACCTCCAGGGCACCCGGTGTTCACGAAAGTCCCGCCGAGCCAGCCTGGACAGGGCCGGCTCTCTCCTGCAGCCCCGAGGCCGTGGGCAGCGGTCAGGGAGCGCCCCCAAAGTAGCCAGAGCCGCGCCAGCCTCCCACCTGGATGGAGTAGGTGGTGTTGTAGCTGCTGTAGAGGTTCCGGATGGGGACGTCGGAGCCGTTCACGGTGCACTGGCTGTAGGGCTCGCCCATGCGCTCCAGCTTGTCCTGTGTCCAGAGAGGTTGCTTGTGGGGGCCCCTGGCCACCCCCAGGAAGTCCCGTGGGACCCTTCCACAGGCATGAGGATCTAGGGGATGCTGAAGGGGGATGGGGAGCTGGGCCCCTGCAGGCACCAGGGGCGCTCATCTCTCCCATGGCCACCCTGGGGTGGGGCTGGGGGTTCCAGCCAGAGTGAGGCAGGAGTGATCTTAACCTAGGCCAGGCGAGCCTTGGGGAGACCCGGGCCCCTCCTCTGGCCGTACCACCAGCACCCCGATGGATGTCTCGGCCCCTGACATGGCGTAGATGCCCTCGTCCTTGATGAAAGGGTAGGACCGCTGCTCGTGAAGCAACAGGCGGGCGCCGGCCGTGGACGTCAGGAAGGGCACGTAGTCCTCCTGGCCTATGTCCAGGATCAGCTTGAGGCCTGTGGGGAAGGGGTCAAGGGCGGCCTGAGTTCCCCCCACACTGCTGAGGGGGGCCCACCACCCCTTTGTCTGAGTCCCTCCAGCCAAGGGGACCTCCGGGGTGAGGCTCCACTTTGCAAAAATTTCCACTTCTTGTCCCCTCCAAGGTCCCCGTCCCAGTCCAGGGCCCAGTCTCCTCCTTGGGGCCGGTCACCCCTCCTGTCCCCATAAGCCCTTCCACGTGGCAGGAAGATCCAGGGCCCAGCCCGGCCTGCTCACACCAGTGTCCTCACGCTCCCCGTTCCTGCTCTCCTTGGCCTCCGTGCCCCTTCCTGCCGCCTGGCCTCCAGCCCGCAGTCATTCCCTCTGGAATGCTGCCCCAGCCTCACCCAGCACCCAGAAACTCCTGCTCTCCCTTCAGCTCGCAGGTGTCACTTCCTCCAGAGGCCTTCCCCGACCACCTAGACCGGTCTCAGGGCCTCTGGAACTTCTCTCCCAAGTACTGGCCTCGCTTGTGATTCTTCTTTTTCTGTCTCTTCCTTCCCCATTCGCCTGTCCCCTCGTGGCAGGCAGAGAGCTGACCCCAGGTTTTATGCTCCATATATCGGGCTAGGTGCTGGCACTTATTGAGCACTTGCTGTATGCTGGGCGCTTATTACCCACGACCTCAGTGGTGCTCACAGGACGTGCTGAGGTCGCTGCTGTTACTGTGCCCACTTTACAGATGCGGAAACTGAGGCACAGAGAGGCGAAGGGACTGAGGTCACCCAGCAAGGAAGTGGAGTTGCTGGGGTCCTAGATCTTAATCATCTGCCCCTTAGCATGAGGGATCGGCCCCTGGGACTCAGAGCTTTCAGGGCCACAGGGGTCAAGGGAAGAGTGCTCAGCGCCCCCATCCTGGCCCCCAGCCCTGATTGTTGCTGAATGACAACTGTCCCTTGGTGGCTGGAGAGGTCAGAACCCGAGGGAGGAAGGATTCACTCCCTCAGCCCCAAGTCCAAGCCCCCTGAGCCCACCAGCCTCTCCCTGCCTCCTGCCTGGCTGCCTCCTGACAGGCAACCAGCAGCTTCCTTCAGCCACCATCCACCGCCCACTCTCGGCTTCTATTTGCAGCTTTGCCCTGCTCTGACTCCCTGATTCTCTTTGCAGGAAGTGCATGGCCTGTGGCTCTGGCTTGGAGAAGGGGTCAGCGCATCTTCACCGGGGGATCACGGGTAAGATCTCTAAGTGTCTCAGAATACAGGGCATACGTGGGGCCTCACCCCCCCTGCAGCTCCGTGTGGAGCAGCTCTGCCACGTATGGCTCACGGTGCAGCGAGGCCTGTACCACCCTCTGCGCAGTGCTACTAGACACCTGTTTCAGATGGGAAACCACAGCTCTGAGGAGCTCAGGATCCCCCAGGGGGTAAGCAGTGGAGCTGGGATTGGACCCCCGAGGCCCGGGGGGTAGTGCGAAGCGGTACTACTTCTGAATCCTCACTTTGCTCCTCAGCAAAATGGGGACACAGTCCTCACCCCCTTTAGGCTTGACCCCAGGATGAACCAGGACTCACCGAACTCAGCTCCCGGGTTGGCCGAAGGGAGCGCCTTCTCCGTCATGCCCCAGTTGAAGATGTAGCAGTTACCGTAATCAGGATGGAAGATGGTGGTGAAGTTCCTGGAAGAAACTCCGTTGGTGGGAGGGCAGGGCCCCAGCCAGTCAACAGCTCCCCCACCGTCTGCTGTCTGGGCTGGTGGTTAAGGGGAGCTGGGCTGCCCTGTGCTCACTCTCAGAGGGTTCAGGAGGGAAAGGTCATTCTGCCCATGCCCCTGCCCCCATGCGCAAGCCAGAGAGGAGAGCCCCAGCCCCCCTGGAAAAGAGGGGCCGAGGGAGACTCTGGAGCCCGGGCTCAGACTCTGGTTCAGCCATAAATCATGAAAAAAGAAGTTTTTTGGATGCTTTTGTGTGTCACATCTAAAGGGTCTTCCCAAACCATGTGTGTGTGTGTGTGTGGGGTGAATGTTGGTCCCCCAAAAGATATGTCCATACCCTAACCCCAGGACCTAGGAATGCAGCCTTATTTGGGAAAAGCGTCTTTCTTTGCAGATATAATTAAGGATTACCATTACGTATTAGAAGTATAAGGATTAATAATTGAGATGAGGTCCCTGGACTGTTCAATCACAAGTGTCCTTACAAGAGAGAAAAGAAGCAGACAGAGATGGCCACACGAAGGCAGACAGGAAGACAGTTCTGAGACAGGAAGTTCTGCGACCAGATGCTGCAGGAGGCAAGGATACTCCCCGAGAGTCTCTGGGGAGCCGGGTCCTGCTGACACCTGGATTTCAGCCTCTGGGCTCCTCTGGGAGAGCCCCTTCCTGAAGAATTAAGCCACCTGGCTTATAGTACTTTGTGACAGCAGCCCCAGGACATTAGTACAGATCTTGAGACCCCCTCCAGGCAGCTCCTGCCCCAAGGACCACACAGGTGGGCTTGTCTGAGAATATTTGGAACTTGGACATCGAGGAATGTGACTGAGATGGAGGGTTAGAGAGGGGGTAAGTCAGGAAGGGGTGAAAGCAGAGGCCCAAGAGAGAGAGTACTGCAGAATGAGACCTGCAGAGGCCTGGATAGGGCCCTTTCGTATGTCATGGAACTGTCTCCAAAAGAAATAATTCAACAAGAAAGGTGAACTTGAAGATGCTCGCAGAAATAGCAATGGTGTAATGTCGTTTCAAAGAATTCAGTTTAAAAATTGTTTTTGACATGAACATTTCATACATACAAAAGTCAAGAGAAGGAAGCCCACCGTCAGCTTCCACCATCATCGTCCCCAGCTGGTCCTGTTATCTCTGCACACACCCCCACTCTCCTAGGCACAGCATTTTGAAGCCAATCTGAGACATCATGATTTTATTTCTAAATGCTCCCATATGTATCTCTAAAAGTAAGAACTTAAAAAATAGTACCATTACCACACTAAATATAATGAACAAAAATTTCTTAATGTTAAGTTCAAAGTTCCAATGGTCTCATTAATGTCTATTTGGAATCTATCATTAAAGTTTGTGAAACTGGAAACCAAATGACATTAACATGTGATTGGCTGATATGTCTTTAACTATTAATCTGTGACACCTCCAGCTGATGTACTTTTTTCTTGCAGTATAGGTATTAAAGGAGTTCTGATTGGCTCCAGCTCATAGAAGGGGAGGACAAACTACCAAAGATCATTATTTTGCATCCTTGACGAATGCTTGGCTCTGAGCAAAGGGCAGTGTGATGATCAAGCTGTGTGTCACCTGTGGGAGGGCCCAGGCAGCAGAGGAAGTGGCTAAAATATCACCCTGGAACAGGAGGGAGCATCCTTCTCTGCATTTCCAGGAAGCACTGGGGGCAGAGGAACAGGGCCCTACACACCACTGTAGAATCCAGACAGCAGCGAGCTCAATGGGATAAACAGCCCCGTTCCTTCAATGAATAAAACGTAGAAGAGGGCAAGGGAGGCAACCTATAGGTTAAAAGAATCGTGAAGAACTTGGGACCCATCACAACGTGGAGCTTTAATTGGCTCCTGATTCAAACAGACAGACAGAAACCTATGGCATTTAACAGTGTGAACATGACTACATGGTTGAGGGGATGGTTGTTAGTTTTTTCAGGTGGGATGATGGCCTTGCGGCTCTTCCCCTCTTACAGCCCCATTCTGAACTATTTCCAGACTAAAGAGATCAAGCCCGGGATTTGCTGTATGCTGCAGAGGGAGGGGGTGTGGGCACGGTTGGTGGCTCTGGCTGGTGGCTCCACGTGAATTGATCAAACTCTATTTTCTGGATGTGTCTCTTCTCAGGTCTCCATAAGAAATAGCTTAAAAAATGCCTGTGATGTTTTATATGGTTTCTCTCATTAAAAGCAGGACAGAATGGGGCGAAGAGAGTCAGAAGCTGCAGAAATCGACAGACAGATACATGTGTCTTTAAAATGCCTTCGAGTTCCCACCCAACACCCACTGAGAGACTTTTATGGGCCAGGCCCTGCAGAACGTCCCTGTGGCATTCCTATTCCATACGATATGGCAGCAGAACGTCATCACTTAATCCCACAGCAGCCCCATGAGGTCAGGAGTCACTTGTCCCTGCGCTCAGACAAGGCAGCCTCATCCTGTCTTTGGTCTCCACCACAGCAAGGTGGGTCCAGGGAGGCTGCGCCATCCGCAATGCGGAGCTGCCGCTGACTCCACCTCTGAGCTCTGGTTTCTCAATGGTGAAAGGGAAATCAGGAAGAAGCCACATTTCTACACCCACTGAATGTTTATTGAGGCGGGGCTGGCTTGGGGACAGCACAGGGGAAAAGACAGCCTCGCCCTGGAAGCTGCCAGTGGGGCTGGCAACAGGAGGGCCTCAGGGCAATTCCTCAGCTCCCTCCCCAGTCCAGGCCACCAGCACCCACCCACGGGCACCCTCGGGAGGAGCTGTTTCCACCCTTGCTGCCTGACCTTCTCCAGCACAGCTCCACAGCTCAGGACCTGTGATGAGACTTTGACACTGCCCCACCCGGCAGCCTCCAGGGGCGCCCTGCCACTCCAGAATAACATGCAACCCCCCTGCCTTGGCTTCCTCTTATTCGCTACATTTCAGTGACTCTCCAAGAGGTTTCCAAATTCCAGGCCCCAGTGGCTGCTCCTTGGTCTGGAATATTCTTTACTAGCACTTCAAATAACCAGTCTGTCTTCATCCTTCAGGTGTCCTGGGCTCTGAGACTCCACAGACCCCGCCTGTGGAGTCCCTGCCTGTCCTATCGTTCCCACCTATTTATTCCCTAGATAGCAGGAGTCAAAATCTGAAATCACCTTCTTTATTTAATTGTGCGTCTGCTGCCTCCTGCTTTAAAATGTAAGCCCAGTGTCTAGAGGGAGAAAGAACTTGGAGGCTGAGGCTCACACCAGGCACCCAACCTGCCTGAATTCCAAGGCCGGCGCTGGCTCTTACTATCTGGTGACCTGGCTTTCCCCAGCTGTAACACGGGGATCAGAGCAGCCCCCAGCGGATCGGAGGTGAGGGCCAGACGCCGAGAATCCTGATTCGTCCACAGACGCTGGCCCCTGCCACTCACAGCTCTGCCTGGTCTGGCACCCAGCAGACAGACACTTGGTAAATATTTGCCGGATCAACTGCAATACTTGATAAGGTCATCCAGATTTAAGTGTGGAGGAGTGACACCTAATTCCCCCTGGGGGTGCAAGGAGTAGTGGGTCTGGGAAGGGTTCTTGGAGAGGTGAGGCCTGAACTAAGACTTTAAGGACAAGTCAGAGACGCTGAGCCCAGGGCAGTGGGGAGGAGAGAGGGCACAGCAGGCCAGGGGCCCGCACAGGCACGGGCTGGGAGGGGAGAAGACTTTGGGGCGGGCACTGCTGAGTCTGCGGCCTGTGTGGGATCAGGGCTGTGGCCACAGGGAAGGAGCAGAGCGGGGCTAACCAGCCCCAGCCAGCACGGCTGGAGGGAGCGACCCCACCCCAGGGGCAGAAGGACACTGCATTCCCAGGGAGCTGCGGCCATCTGCAGCCCAGGAGTGGGAGGCTGCTCAGGGCGGGGCGGGATCCCCTCCTGCCCAGGGCCCCACTCCTGCTCTCAAGCTTGTGCCAACTATTTGCCTGTTGATAAAGCTCTTTACCCAAAGAGGCTGCTCCCAGCCCCAGGCGCCTTCAGCTCCAGGCATTTCCCTCCAAAACTCTCGTGAGACGGAGCAAGCCTCTAGGAAAAGCCTGGAAATGGAGCGCCAGGGCTGGAAGCAGCGTAACAATAGGGGTGCTGTGTTAGGGGGCAGGAAAGCTTCCCAGGTCAGAAACTAGCCAGCCAGTCCCTGATAATGATTACTATCCCGATGATGATGATGATGATGATGATTTGCTTATAGATGCCGAGAGCTTGGTTTCTAAATACTGTTCTCCAACGAAAGGAGCCAGGGCTGCTTCGAGAAGTGTCTGGCTCTAGGACTGGGGTGTCTGGTAAAGCCAGAAAGTAAGGACAGAACTCAGAATGATAAATCAATAAAAGAAATGGCTGGAGAAAAGTCAAGGGGACATTGAGCCAACTGAGTGAGCTCCCATTGACCAAAGCTGGGAGAAACCGAGTAAGAAAACAACTAGCGCGGTGTTGGCTTACAAGCCAGATACACGGGAGCGCACGCTGGCGTAAACAGTTGGATAAATAAACAAACGGAGAACAGACAAGCTTTCCTCACAGAAGAATTCCAAATAACCTGTTATCTCCTCCCCCCCACCCCACCCGGTGTAGACTGGAGCTGGTGACTCGCTTGGGTGATGCAGCACATGGCAAGGAAGGGGGTTACTTCACACTGGAAATGCCACACGTGACTCCCTGCCCACGGAGGAAGGTCACCTCTCGGGCGGCGGCGCGCGGCACGCACTCACCTCCGTGGCCTCTTCCCCCAAACCCATCCCTTGGGTTGAGATCAGCAGACAAACCCAACCGGAAGTCTTTCTTTGCTGATTCCTTCACAACTGGCCCCCAGAACAAGGAAGCCCAAGAAACCGTCACTCCCTGGGGAAGACGCAGGAGATGCCATCGCTCCCGGGGAGAGCTTGGGGCAGGCACAGCTCAGCGGGGGACACGGGGGAAGCCAAGCCCAGTGCTGAGATCATGGTCACGAGCCCCGAGGTTGTGACGATGAAGATGGTGATGCAAGATGTTCAGGGCAGAGGGGACGGGCAAAGAGGGCGAGGGCCCTGTACTCTCTCTGCAGCTTTTCTGTACATTATTCCACAGTAAAAGGTTTATTTAAAAAATCCTCAGCTAAGCCTTGCCATGTGCGAGGTGCTGGATGGGAACTCATTTGATCCCAGACACAGCCCTGGGAGGTGATTTTATTCTTCCCACTTTCCAGAGGAGGGAACAGAGGCACAGAGGAGGTAAGGCACGAAGCCCACCGCACACAGCCCTGGCCCCAGAGCCGGGAGCTTTGGTGTCCGGTCCCGACACGGTCACCTTCTCCTAACACCCTGCCACTGCTTCCGGAACGCCGGCTGGGCCGGCAGGAGAGGATGAGTCAGAGGGACAGTGAGGAGGCAGGGGCCCTGGTGCTCGGACACCAGCACAGGAGGCCGGGAGGCTGAGTCAGGACGGTGGTGAGCGGTGGCGACCAGCGGCCAGTGGGGCGCACAGAGACAAGGGCTCTGAGACTTCTGGGCCAGGCCGGTGATGCCTCCCACTCAGACCTGCCCACGACTAGAGAAATGGGCTTGGGAGAGGCCGGGAGAGGAAGGTGAGCATCCCAGTTTCAGATGAGGTGGTAGAGCGTCATGGGGTGGGCCTGGCCGGGCCATCAGCCCTGTCACTCACCAGCTGTGTGACTTCAGAGCCGTTGCCACACCTCTCTGGGCCTCGGTTTCATCACACAACGTGGGGAGAAATAATAGTGCCTTTCTCACAGGCCTGTGGCCGAGGTGAAAATAGTTTTATGCATGGAAGAAGGTCTCATTAACTGTTAGCATTATGACTGAATAATGAGAGCCTTGGCATATGTGGGCTTAATGTGAGTAATAACTAATATTTCTTGGGCTCAGGACTATGGTCAGCCCTCTTGCATGGTAACTCATTTAATAATCAAAATTAGCCTGTCGAGCAGGCACAATTATTGTCCTGTTTTAGGGAAGAGGAAAACGGAGGCGCAGTGAGGTTAAGAACCTCGTTCAAGGTCACAAGCTTGCAAGACAGAGCCAGGGCTTGAACGCAGAGTCCAGGCCCTCCACGAGGCTTGAGCCCCAGACTCAGCCACTCCACAGACGACGTGTGGTCCACACGGGACGTTGTGCCCTCTCATCAGCCATCTATTCCTCTCTTTTCTGCTAACAGCTTCTCTGCCTTATTTTTTTGGAGAGGGGAACCCATCCCTCACCCTCAGTGTGTGTGACCCAAGCGGGACTGGCTTTGAGGGTGCCGTGTCGGCAGGAGGTACACGGTCCCCAGCCTTGACACTGCCTCTGGTGCTGGACCGGTCCATCAAGCAGCCTGCTCAGGCTAGGGGCCAGGCCCTGGGCAGCACATGCCTTTAAACCCCAGGATGCTGCACAACGGGAGAAGCGCACCCTTCAGAGCCGAGAACCAGATAGCAGATCCCAGTGGATCCCGGCAGGTCCTAGTGGATCCCTTTTTCCCACCTCCCTCGCACTGCGGGGTGTGAGCTCACAGAGCAGACGGGCCACGCATTGGGAACGATAGCATTGCACGTCCTCTCAGCGAGGGGGTCAAGCTGAACTTGTGGACCTGAAGCTAGTGCCCCAGGTACCCCAGCTTCACTCAGGGCTGCCAGATGGGGGGCGAGGTGTGCAGTACGCCTGCTCTGTGGGCTCGGCTCCGGGACACCAGCTGCAGCGACCACAGGAGTGGGTGGGGGCCCATGCCTTTCAGCAGATTCTAGAACTTCCTGAAGGTTCCTGAGTTGAGGCTACAGTCCCCAAGAGAGTGGATCTAGGAGCCTGTCACGTGTCTAAAGTCAAACTCCCTTTCTCCAGAGGCCTGAAGTGTGTGGACAAGTCCCCGGCCTGGAGGACACCATGCCTTCTTAGCCCCCAGCCTGGGAAGTCAGGAGACCCTCCTGGGGGTCGCATACAGCAGAGTGCCCAACGGGCAGTACCAGGAGGGATAGGTCTGCGGTGTGGTTTGTGCTCCAGACCCTGTAGAGGAGGCCAGGCCCTCCGTCACCTGGCTCTGTCCGCCTTCCCGCCTGGCTTTTCTTCCAGACTTTTCCTAAAGCGACCCCCTCGGGGTGCAACAGGGCATCCAGGAATCTGACCAAAGCTACTGAGGTGCAGAGAGGTCATGGTCGGGCGGGCTGTGGGGGCAGCGGGGTGCCAACCCAGCGATGGCAGTGCTCACCTGTGGCTGCAGGGCTCCGCCCCGAACAGGCAGGCCAGGATGAGCCGCTCGGCGGGGTAGCCCATCTGCACCAGCTCCTGCCGCGGCACCTGCGCGAAGATGTCGGTGGCCTGCAGGCTGTACCACTCCGTCACGGCCTGGGTGGCGCTGGTGAAGTTCCGGAGGGTGCACACGGTCCCGTTTCTGCTGCACTGCAGAGGCCAAGAGGGGCTCCCGTGGGCGTGGGGCTGCTGCGGGTGCACCACCACTGCTTGCAGGTCCTGCTGGCTGCGCCTCATCTGGCTGCACCCCGGTTCCCCGTACGCAGGGGCTGTCCCTTCACACACAGGGACACTCACAGCCACCAGTCAGCCCATAGGCAGCTTAACAAGAGTGAACACACACACATGCAAGCACATACATGTGTACACACAAGACACATGTATAATACCCACGACACGTACACATGTGCACACGTGACACACACGTCCACAGAGGTCCATTTCTGACACTAGAGCCCCAGGATGTCACAGAAACAACTATGCACACACATGCCAGCATTGCCCCCCAAGTCCACCCACCCACATTCACCCAAGTGGCCCCACTGGCATGCGTCTGTGGCTCAGACACAGACAGACACTCGGACCCTCCACTGTCCCAAGTGCTTTCCCAGCCCCCCACCCCCCGACTTGCAGAGGCTGCTGGGGGAGGCTGGGTACACACAAAGGACTCAGGTTGTGAAGTTCTGTCCCCCCAGCAGGGAAAGGACCTTGCCGGCCTCCCACGGAGGGGACAGGCTTCCCTCCCACCTGTCACAGTGAGTCCACCATGAAGCTCAGGGCCCTGACACAGGACAGGCTTCGCCCTTGGACATGGGCCTTGCCAGCTCTGCCTCTGTTGGCCCTCACAGGGGGCCTTTCTTCTGGAACGCTGGCAGCTTCTCACTCTCTGAGGTAGTCCTTCCTGGCGTGGGCTGGGGTGCTGTCAATGGGCCCATTCCTGGCTCCCCTCATCCCCTCTGGGAGATTATAACACTTTACACTGTCCTCAGGGCTTCACGTCTATTAACCTCTGCCCCCACCACTGGTGCACATGCGTGGGCACACACTCACAAAGGGCCTGACCCTGTGAGCTGCTGAGCACCAAAGACACGCCTGCTTCACAGATGAGGAAAGGGACACAGGAAGTGGGAAACTGATGACAGCATTCGAATGCCTGGATCCAGCCATACCTGAATCTAAATACCTCAGACTTCTCAGCACGTGAGCTGACAAATTCCCTGTTCTGCTAAGCTAGTTCGAGCTGGGTCACTTGCATCCAAAAGGGTCTTGACTAACATACCAACAATTTCCATTTTTCTCAAATGGTCATGCAAACATACAAAACAGGCACTGGGCCCAGATCATTAAAGAAAATCAGCCCATCAGCCCAAGGCCCATTGGTTGGCATGTGCCCAGGGGCCACTTACTAGTCTCATGGCCATTTTGCACCTGTGGGCATTGCAGAGATCTCCTGGCGCTGGGCTGCCGCTGGCTGAGCCATTGTGGTTGTCCCCAAAGAGGTCGAGGACCACTGGATGGTGGGGGTCCCGCTCATCAATAAGGACTAGAGGTGTGTGGTTCCAGATGGTCAAGTTCAGGGCCCGGGTGGCATTGCTCTGGCTGGGCTCTCGAGCCAGGATCCTGTCTAGGACTGCTTCCATCAGCTCATCCACGTCCTTGAGCAGATGGCTGACTTTGGTGTACCTGAGTGGGGGAGGCAGTGGGTCACCGGAGGGCGGGGGGAGAAGGGGCAGCTGCAGCCTGTCGTGCCCCGGTAAGTTTGCCCCTGAGCCCTGCCCAAGCACCGCCACTTGCTACCCACCCATACATTTCCCTGTATCCTTCCACCCCGCCACCCTCCTACCCACTCACTCACTCATCAAGTATTTCATGAACACCTACTATGTGCCAGGCACTGTGTAAAGCAGAGGATCCAGTAGCAAACAAGCCCAATCTAGACTCTTACGAAATTCACATTCTGGTGAGCTCACGTGCCAGGTACTAGTGCTTTCTACTTCTTAGTTTATTTAATCTTTGCCATAATTACGATCACAGAGGACACTGGGGCTCTGGGAGTTGCTGTGATTTCCCAAGTTCATGCCACGATGAGGGGCAGAGCTGAGGTGGGAAGCAGGGCGATGGGCTCCAGTGGGTGGGCTGTTTGTGCACAGGGGCGGCTTTCTTCCTCCCAGGAGAGGATAGGAAGCTGGGGGCGGGGAGGGACAGGTCAGTGATCCTGGGGTTCTAGTTCTCCAGCAGCAATTTGGGGAACAGGAGGAAGAGGTTGATGGGACTGTGGGGCTGGGCTCCAGAATCTTCTCTCAAGCCCTGGCAGCTCCCGTACTAGAAATGGTGACCAGTCTGCTGGCACCAGCAAGTGACCCCCCCGGGTTTCAGTCACTCCATATCCACAACAGGGCAGCGTGTCAGCTCGGGCTGGAAGACTCCCTGCAGGAGACAGTGCTAGGCCCGGGATGCCGGCCCAAGGCCTGGTACAAAGACGCACGTGAGCCACGTGATACCCCCGGCCCCTGACTGGCTCATGGTCACAGGACGAGGAGGAGGGTGAGGGCCCTTAGGGGCGGGGCTGCTGTTACAGCCTCATTGTTGCAGCTGTTGGGTTTGGTGGGTCATTGCCTGGGTTCTGGGTTTGAATCCTGGTGCTTAATTCTGCGCTACAACGGGAGGATTAAAATATGTACCCAGAGGGCACATGGGAGGATTCAACGAGGTGATGCTGCTAATGCACGAGGCACAGTGCCTGGACAGAGGGCTGCTGTTGTCATGATAATTATTCGGGGTTCTCTCGAGTAGCTCTCAGGACCCACTCTAGGGAGGAGGAGCCCCATCACTAGAAAGAAGGAACATTCGGATAACTGGACATTACCAGGGAGTATAAATTCCATCCCTTCTTTTGGACGAGAATATTCTCTGTGACTCAGCCACTCGGGTCCTTCTTTCAATTCCTTGTATGTAATCAGCTCTGTCTCACGCCAGGGCCTTGGCATGTGTCACATCCTTCTGTTACGACAGACTCCTAAATCTGCCTGGCTAACTTCTATTCATTCACTGGGGCATTTTTCTCTAGCTGACACCCTGTCTCTCTCCAACCCTGACTAGGTTGGGTCCCCTTGTCTGTCTGTGTAGAGGCCTCACCCTTAAGTGGTTGAACAGCAGCAGCTCTGGCGTTCGATCCGACCTGGGTTCAAATCCCACAGTTGCCCACTGTGTGTCTCTGGGCAAGTGCCCTCACCTCTCTGAATCTTTGTTTTCTGATCTGTAAATTGGGACTTCTACAGTGGTACCCACCTTACAGTGGTCTTGTGGACTTGAATTACATAAATTACCCAAAGAACACTCAGCACACTGGCACTCCTAAGCGACGACACCTGATTACTGTATGTTTTCTATCATCACAAATACAATTAGTTCAGGGTTTATGGAAAAGCATTAATGTGTTTTTTTCCTGTGAACAGGGCAGGGAGTTTCTTTTACTCGCCGATGCATTCCCAGTACCCGGAACAATACCTGGCACATAATAGGTGCTCAATAAATACATATTGAACCAATAAATAGGTGCTGGTGCGCCTGATGGCGGGGGCTACCAGGTATATGTTTAGATTCTCTTTAAACTTAGGACGTTTATGAATTTTGAATCTTCTTTGCTGCAAAGAGGAAATGAAAGAGAGAAGGAGAAAGGGAAAGAAGGCAGGCAGGGAAGGAAGGAAAGTTGGGAAGTCGTTAAAAAAGGAGAGCAAAACAGAAGCCCCCAAGGACCGCCTACTGGAAGGGGCTGGCGTTGCAGATGGTGACGGCCGGGAAGTCCATGGTCTTGAAGCCGATGGAGAGGGAGACGCTGACCTCCCAGCTCAGGTAGGTCCTGATGAAGATGCCCCACTGCCAGCAGACCAGGGAGGCGAAGAGCAGGGTGAGCACGAACCACATGGCCTTCTTCTTGGGCCCCTCGCGGATGATGCGCTTGGGGCCATGGGTGTTGGTGTTGTCGCAGTACCACACCAGCAGCTCCTTGTACGTGTAGCCGGGGCCTTTCTGCAGCCGGTGCAGGCACTTCAGCAGGTACTTCTTCACTTGCATTGTGGCACCTGCGGAGAGGCACGGGAAAGTCAGGGCAGATGCCACCCACACCAGGCTCGAGTCGAAGGGTATCCCGGGTGAGGCCAAAAATGGGCCCCGGACACAGGAAGACCTGCACATGCCAGTTGTCTCTACCTCCTGCCCTGCCATCCATCCATCCACCCGCCATCATCCATCCATCCATCCATCCAAGAAGTTTTTATTTGGTACCTATTGTTTTTTTTTTTTTAAAAGATTTATTTATTTATTTGTACATATAAGCACTGGGTACAGTCAGAAGCGCAGGAGGGTGAGAGAATTCACCAGAGCCAGAGCGGGGAAGAGAGAGGCAGGCTGACGAAGTACACTGCTGAGGGGAGCAGCGGGCGGCAGGAGAGGTCTGCGCGCCATGTGGGACCCTTGCCGGCAGCCGGGGATCGAACTGGCGCTGCAGAGGCTGCGGGCAGCTTCGCAACTCAATTTTAGTATATGTGCTGCCGAAGTGAGCACGAGCTTCGCAACTCAGCGCTCAACCGCTGCACCACCGGGGAGGCCCTGTTTGGTACCTATTGTATGCCAGGCACTGTGTTAGTCCCTTTGGACACAAGAATGAGCAAGACAGATAAGGTTCCCACTTTCTGGGAATTTCCAGCTTCATGGACAAATTACTTAAACTCTCGACTCCTAGGCTCGCCTTGCGTAAAGTGGGAACACGTGTACCTCACTGATAGGCTCGCTGAGAGGATGAAATCAGGAGATGCAGGAAAGCGCTGAGGAAAGTGCCTGGCAGGCTGGTGCTCAGTATCGGCTTCCCTTGTTACCAGCTGTTAGTGGGTAGAATTAACCTAAGAATCCAATGACCATGCGTAGTTTCAAAGCGTGATGGGGCACTGGGATCCTGTGCTCTTAGGTGCCGGGGGTGGTGAAGAAGGAAGAGTCTGGGGCTCAAGCGTCTGGCTTCGAGCCCGCTCCACCACTTTCTAGCTGTGTGACTTTGAGTGAACACTTTCCCAGGGCCTGGATCCAGCCATTTATTCCTGGCTTCGTCTGCTACGGAAGAGGTACATTTTCTTTCTTACTTATGCTGATCCTAGTTGGGCGTCTGCCAATCACAATCAGCAGAAACTTCATAGAAAAAGAAATTCACTCAGTGCTATTCTGTGTTGTCACCTGTGCCTGCAGCTTCTCACTCTTGTGAGACCATAAATTCTTTAAGGACAGCAGCTCTGTATCCCTGCAAGCCTAGTACAGTGCCTGGATCCTCCAATAGCCAAATGAATAGCACCAGAGCATCCTACCTAAACAGAGATGCCCAACTTGCGCAAGCATGATCACTCCTGACCTAATTCTCTGCAGAGTAACATCCCACACCTTTTCCCCAGAAGGGATCGTAGCCAAGCAGCAGGGCTTCCCCCTCTAACTCTGCCATCTCTGCTCTGCCACAAGCCAACTGCCCAGGCTGTCGGATGGGTGGTCACAGAGTGACCCAACCCCCTTCCCCAGGTGGCCCACTCCCTGCTCTGAAATAATGGGTAACATCCGAAATAATAGGTAACTACATATAAGACCAGTATCAAATACTAAGTGTTCCCATGACCGGGCACTGCAAGGGCTTCGTTTTTAGATGCTATTATCCACAATTATACCTTGAAAGGGGACTTCGTCTGTCTTGTGGAGCCCAGCACCCCAAGGCCTAAGAATGAACAGCACACTGGGCTCCAGCAAGTAGCTGTGAAAGAGAGAGATGAAGGGCCTCTCTGGCATCTTCCTTCCTCCATTCTCATTTGAACCTTGGGCTTCTGGCAAGGACAAAGTCTCCTCTGGGGAGGGCGGGCACAGATGTTAACACCCTGCTCAGCTGCCCTTCCCACACTGGGGCCTGGGACTAAGAGCCTGCTCAGGAGAAGGAACAGCATTCGGTTTCCACTGGGCTTATTTTTAAGCAGAATCTTCTATGTATGACAAGAGACGCCGGCTTTTGTTTTAGGTTCCTAAATACGCTTCAGTGAAAAACGAGATAAATTTAAAGAAAAATATGGAGTAAACAATAGCATTGCATGTAGCCAAAACTGCCCATAGTTGGCAAATAAGAGAAGTTTGTCGAGTACTGGTTTATCTCTTAACTAGTTTGCTCCCTTGGGCCATCAGTCAAGTAAAAATATCAGTAAATGCTACAAAACAACTTTCTGTTGTCCCGGTCAGATTTCACTCCCCGGGTGATAAACGGCCTGGGTTTGGAATGTATACACAGCTTGTGTAGAAAGGTTTAAACCAGCTTTCAGCTCGAACCAACCCAAACAAGCCAAGTGGAGATTGAGTCCGTGTGTGGACACAAGACGAGTGGACAGTCATGCTTGGGGGAGTCTCAGATTGCTATCTGCTCCTTGGCCTTGAACTTGTGGTAGATGTTGCTGGCAGCAAGTGCAAAAACAAAAAATTTTGTGTACAGTCGTTTCTGTGTTCTAATAAGGGAATAACACATCTATTTTTTTCCTTGAGATTGACTCAGTGTTCTGGTAGAAGGTTAATTGGAAGTGTCTCTACTTATTATTTTTTTTAATATTTTATTTTATGTAATTCTTACATCATTTTTCATTTTTGCACAATGTATGCATTTTCATTTTGGTTATATTCCCATACAATTGTACCCCCCCTTATTTTGACCTTCATCCTTCCTCTCCCCACACTCCCCCCATAATGACACAGAAACATTAATTCAAAAGGTCACCTGCACCCCTATGTTTATAGCAGCACTATTTATAATAGCTAAGCTTTGGAAACAACCCAAATGCCCAAAAATAGATGACTGATCAAGAAGATGTGGTACATATACACAATGGACTATTACTCAGCAATCAAAAAAGATAAACTCATGCAATCTACTTAATATTTTGACACGTAAATGCTGTTACTATTGTCATTTCTTCTCAATCTTTTGAATGAGGGGCTGTGGATGGATGGCCCATGACTAGACTAGGTTTGCAGAAGGTTTTGGTTGTGGCTAGCACATTTTTTTTAGAGTATAATTTCCTTTTTAAAATAACAGCTTTATAGGGGACCTCCCTGGTGGTGCAAGAGGTTAAGTCTCAGCACTATCAAGCTATTGGCAGCACCTGCAGTACAAGTTTGATCCTCAGCCAGGTTGCTGACCCACATGGCGAAGCAGACCTCTCCTTTCTCACTGGCTGCTCCCCTCAGCAGTGTATTTCAGTCAATCCACCTTTTCTAATAGTTTTGTGGTGCTGAGACTTAACCCCTGTGCCACCAGGAAGGCCCACCTCTGCGCACTTTTTTTTTAAAGATTTATTTATTTATTTATACAAGCACTGGGTACAGTCAGAAGCGCGGGAGGGTGAGAGAATTCACCAGAGCCAGAGCGGGGAGCAGAGCAGGCAGAAGGAGCGAAGTACACTGCTGAGGGGAGCAGCGGGCAGCAGGAGAGGTCTGCGCGCCACGTGGGACCCTCCTCCGGTGGCCGGGGAGAGCTGGGGATTGAACCGGCGCTGCAGAGGCTACGGGCAGCTTCACAACCCAGCGCTCAACCGCTGCGCCACCGGGGAGGCCCTCTGCTCACTTTTTAATTGGGTTACTTTGTTATTAAGTTGTAAGAGTTATCTATATATTGTTTATACAAGTCATTTATCAGATGGAGGATTTATAAAAATATTCTCCTGTTCTATGGCTTATTTTTTCACTTTCTTGGTGGTGTCCTGTGAAGCATGTAAGTTTTCAATTTTGATTGTGCCTAATCTGTCTATATATATATATATATATATATATATATATTTTTTTTTTTTTTTTTGGTGCTTGTGCATTGGTGTTGTATCTAAGAATCCACGGCTTAAGCCAAGGTTATAAAGATTCATTTCTATGATTTATTCTAAGTGTTTTATAGTTTTAGCTTTTACATTTAGATCTTTGATTCAGTTTGAATGAACTGTGTGAGGATATCCACATGTCCCAACATAAAGACTATTCTTTCCACCATTGGATTGTCTTGGCACCTTTAATGGTTTTAAAGAAACATCTAAATTAACTAAAACCTAAATAAGCAGAGAGATGCCATATTAACGGATGAGAAGACTCAATATTGTCAAGATGACAATGAGCTTCAAATTAATCTCTAGAGGGCCCCCCTCGTGGCACAAGGGTTAAGATGCAACCTATGAAGTGATCCGCAGCCACTGCAGCAAGAGTTTGATCCCCAACCAGGGAGCTACCCCCATGGTGCAGCAGACCTCTCCCGACTTGCCCACTGTGCCCCTCAGCAGTGTATTTCTGTCAACCTGCCTGTTCTGTTCCCCACACTGTCTCTGATGAATCCTCTCACCCCCCACACCTGTGGCCTGTACCCCAGTTCTTGTATGCATAAAATAAATAAATCTTTAAAAAATTAATCTCTAGAGTTAATTCGATCTCAATCAAAATCCAGCAAACTTTTTGGAGAAATCAACAAGCTGATTCTAAACTTGATATGAAAAAGAGGGGGGAAAAAAAAACACTTTTGACAAAGAATAAAGTCGAAGGACACATATTATCTGATAGCAAGACTTACTATATATAATACACTGATCCGAATGGTATGATATTGCTGTAATGATCGATATACTGATTGGTGGAAAGGAAAGAGCATCTGGAAATAGATCTACACAGGTGCCAATTTAATTCAATGCAGAAAGGATAGTCTTTTCAATAAATGATGCTGGAACAAATGGATGTCCACATGTCCACATGCCCCACACTAGATATGAAAATTAACTTGATATGGATCAGAGACCTAAACATAAGAGCTAAAACTATAAAACATGTGGAAGAAAATATAGGGGAAAAATCTGTGCAGTCTTGGGGTAGGCTAAGAGCTTTTAAAGAGGAAACTAAAAATCCTGAATCATAAAAGCTTTATAAATTACAATTTATTGAAATAAAAACATCTGCTAAGAAAATTGAAAACCAAATCACTGGGAGAAAATACTTGAAAGAACACATGTCAAAAAATTTGTATGCAGAATATAGAAAGAATTCTTAAAAC